CCGGGCGGTGAGATAGATGGAGGAAAGGTGGTGGGCATGAGGGGCTGGGGTCTGAGCGGAGAGAGAGGAGGGGGCTGCAGGATAAAGACAGGAGAACAAGGAGAGGGCAGCGGAGAGGACATAGTGGACACAGTGGGGAGGTGGGAGAGATCTGATCTGAACCAGAGTGAGACGAGGAAGAACCAGAAACTAAAACAGAAAATTGTGAAATAAAGAAAAAAAACAATGAATATGGCATGTATAAGTAACACCGGAAAAGACCACATTTGTTAATTCATGGGTTTCAGAGCAATTAACCATTCAAAATGAATATTATATAATTGCCCGTAAGTCTAATGTATTCTGATAGAGACACAGCAACTGATATTGCACTACTGTAACAAAACACATCCAGCTAGGTGCTTGCTAACATTTCAGATATCTCTTTCTCACCTTTTCCATCAGAGGTTTAAATAATGATGAATGGCCAGACTTGAATGGACAATAACAAAACATGTGAGTCTTGTACTGACCATGGTGAATAAACTTCATTAGACATCCAGTCTCCAGTCGCTCTTTGCAATGCTTGGACTGCTTTAATATTTTTTTTTGGTACAACAGAGTTTATTGGGATGTTCTGTGGCTATATTGTTTTAGCTAATGCATCTCTCTATGGATGTTTTGTACATGTTAGCGATTTCACTGGTTTTTACATTCAATTCCAAGCTATAAACAGCGAGGTGAAACCCATGAATGTTTGTACAACATTACTTTTAAATAATAGTTTGTTAATAATGCTTGTAAAATGAGAAGGCAAAAATAAAAGAACATTAAATACAGATCACTTTGTGTGAAAGAGTAAAAAGTTTTACCAGTCTCAGGGTCACTGAAGTCAGGTAGAGTCATGGCATTAAGCTGGCGTCTGTCAGCGATGGCTCTGTCCAATAAGCTGCTTCCACGACCAGAATCACTGCAGGTTCACAAGACTCATCAGGACATGGTCGCTAAGCAGATACCATATGTAACAACACCTTTCCCTAACTACCTACTCTTCTAACATCAGAGGGGTCACAACTAATTTGACTATTCTTCTTATTTATTCTCATAATGAGAGTAATCACTTTGTACAGATCACACATCAACAAATACAAATATGACTTGTACCTGGGATTGGTAAGGTTATAAAAACTCTTCCAAATTTGCAACATGTGTTTACAGGTAAGTAGAGCTTCTTCTGGTCCTCTGCACATCGACTCCAACTTTACTTTAGTGTACAATAAGCTAAAGACAATGATGAGAAATGTTACACTCATTAAAATACACCTTTAAAGAAGAGGGTTAAGTCCATTCTTACTTAAAATTCTCAGGGTATTCTGACAGAGCCATTTCTATAATATTTAATGCGTCGTGATAGTGTTTCTGTGCAGACAGCAGTAGAGCCAGAAGGTGGAGGGAATGGACATCATCACCTTGTAGTTGTAATGCTTGTCGCACATATCCCAGAGCCTCAGGAATCTATGGATAGATATAAAAACAGTTTTAATACAGTTGAATTGAACAATAATTGGTACGAGATTTATTTAAGTTTTTTTTATTTTTTTTACCTGGCGTGACACAGCCAGCTGAAGTGCCAGGTAGAAAGCTGCTAAATGGTCAGTTGGTGATAGACTCTGGGCTCTACACATGGTCAAAAGAGAAAGAACATAACATAAACATAAAAAATATAATAAAATAGTTTGACATAAAGGGGGCCTCACCTCTGGAATGCACCCAAGGCCTTTCTCTGGTATTCCTCTTGCAAACTTCTCAATGATGCTGATATTGAAGAGAAAGACAGTTATTTATAATACAGAAAGATATTTTATGGACATGCCAAATCTTGTTCATGCAATGATTTCCATTACCATCTGTCGCTTTAAGGCTATAAACAAGACCCACGGCCAAGTATCCTTTAGCTCTGAACTCTGCTGCTTTCTCTCCCATTTCAATCACCATCTTTGCAAATGTCTCCCCTTCATCTAACTGAATGGAAAAGATACAACATAATAAAAAACATGTTAAGAAAGTAATGACAAAAACAGGTAACATTACAGACACCATGAGACAATAGATACCCAGTGAAGAGGTCCAATACAGAGTTTGACAGCAAGTAGTGGGAGTGTGGGGTCATCCGGTTTCAAGCGAATGCACTCTTTAAGAACTTTCACTGCTCGGGCAGATTTCCCAGCAGCCATCAGCGACAGGGCGAGCTGGTACCACAAATGAAACTCCTCAAAGGCAAACTTCATGGCTCTCTCCAAACACTAGGGACATTATAGTAGGATATTCTTAGTTCAATTATAGACATAGCTACTTCTGTTGCTGCTAAAAAATGGGTCACTCACCTCAGATAGCATCTCATACTGCCCTCTCCTGCCTAGAGCAATGGTCAAAAGATCATATACAACAGAGGCAGACTGGAGGCTTATGATGCGGTCATTGTTGTGTTCAGGAATCCTACTTAAAACGGCATCACGATTTGCCTACACAAAAACCAAACAGTACATACATCACATATGTGGCCACTTGGCATTGACTTGCAATTTTTTTTTTTTTCAGGCAGGGTCATGTGATAGAAATTTAGATTGTGGAAAGATTTCTCTCAATCTGTCTTGTGTAAATTAATGTGATTTCTACCTGAAACCCAGACCAGTCATTAACATGTGTAAAGGTTCATCAGGCACAACTGTCTCCGCCTTCAGGAAGCCTTTTGTTATCATCAACTGTATGTTCATTTAGCACCAGCCTCTGAAACCAAAGTCACTCTGCATTGATATGTATGCAACTTGAGGGGACATGGGGGAGACAGGGTGAGAGGCTGTTGGGCTTTGGCCGAAATAGACCTAGGCCCTGTCCATATCTGCTGTAACAAGAATAAACCTTGGTCTATATTCCAAAAACTCATCGGGCTTCACAAATGGATTCATTATTTATCTTATCTTCAAGAGATATATATAATTTTTGAGACAACAATTTGGTGTCAAGAACTGTGATCCACGAGTGACCGTCCAGAACACAGTGCAAATGGAATTTTGTCAGCTTTTGTTTTTTCTCGGATGCATGGAGCAAAGAAAGACATGGATGGACATTGGCTTCTCTCCTGGATCATCACCGCTGGATTCGAACAAGATTTGCTTGGTGAGCTTTTGCAAAATAGACTTTATTTCATTTAAGATAATTTAATGGAAACCTTCATCTACAAACACTTGGAAATGTTCAAAGGACAGTGTGCCTCCTATTGGAGTTAAATGGACTTTTTGAAACATGCCAAACTCTAACCCTATTCCTATACATTTTTAAATTAATCTCACAAAAGCTAAAATTCTCATATTTCAATTCCTCAATTGACCCTCTTTCAATATTTTTGGCTCAAAAATCTCATGCTGCAACTACAGTGTCAACAACAAAGACCATCCCCGCTTTTAATTTCCTCACCTTTGGGACATTCTAGACCGCTCTGCCACTGAAACTAAGCTATTGGAAGTTACAAGTGCAAAAACAAAATGGGGAGCAAAACTTGAAGGGAGTATACACCTCCAGAAGGTTCCATTGTAGATTTTTTGAGAAGAAAACATGGAGATAAGAAGTCTTCAGAATTTGGTGCATTCACTTTAAAGAATGTTCTGGCATTGGAAAACAAGTGATGTGACATTGAAGTCGAAGTGAAAGAAAAAGTAAAATTTCTAATAAAAAAATTAGACAACATTGAAAATTACAAGGACTGTGTCAAAATGTGGAAAGATGAAGCTGAGAGCAAAATAAGAAAATATATGTACAAACAACCTCTTCTCTTTAAAGATGCAACTGAAATGTGTGAATTGAAACAGCCCCACTCGCAGAACTCTTTGTCTCAACAGTTAATGTCTGATCCTTCACCAAATAACTTCTCACAACTCAAAGCTCCACCACCCCCATCACAACAGGACTTTTCATCCACTGCTCAGAGACTACACCGCCATGTTGAACAAGCAACGCTCACTATGCCAATGGTTGAAGTCTCTGGTCAACAAAATCCAACATTAGTTTTCCGTCCATGGACTTCTTCTGAAATATCTGCAGCATCTCAACATCTGCCCAATCCCACAACATCAGGTCAGACTTTTGCTAAAGAACTAAACACGTTTTGTCAAGACTTCAAGCCCACTATGAGTGAACTGAGGAGAGTGTTGATCATGAAAATGAAACCTACAGAATGGCATAAAGTAGCTGATCAACTGCAGAACATTGAACTGCGATGCAATCATGTGGATTGGAAACTCTAATGCTTTGTATAGAGAAGCTGTGAACAACATCTACATAGCTATCACCAAAGCCTTTCCTGCCTCCATCGATACTGACAAAATCCAATCCTGCAAACAAAGAGACACTGACGACCCTGAAGCATTTCTCACACGTTTAACAGAAGTGTATAACACCACAGTGGATTTACAAGACCTGATCACTTAGGTGTGACTCATGATGTTTGGGAAACATACCTGTGTAACTACTTCATCAGTGGACTAAAAACAGGCATTTCTTCAGCTGTGAAGAAAACTTGCATTGGCTGGAATGCTGCTCAACTAACTGAACTGAAAAGACATGCCACACATGCATATGAACAGCTACTGAGAAAGAAAGTAATGAAGCAAGAGAGAATGCAGAAAGAACTGCATGGCAGCTGTGACTATGTACAATAAGACCCAAAGACATGAAAGTGAAAATCACCAACTGGATTCAAGATTTCAGAAACAACTAAAGACTCTTCAGCCAACATGTAAGCAGAACAAAGAGAGGAGAAAAGCCAATCAAAAGAACAAGAGAAGATTTTCCAAAGAACCATGCTTTATCTGTTGTCAACTTGGACATTGGAGACGAGAGTGCTCTTTACGCCCTGTGCATTTACACCATCTTCTCCAAGTCAGCTTGTGACCCAAAAGCCAATATGGAACTACAATACGCCAACACCCTCTTCCCTAACCTGTGATGACGCCACCTCGTGCAGTGCTGACTGTGATCCAGTCACAGCCACCACACATGATCCACCTCCAACTTCCTGGGACATTAATGACTTTCATTTGGAAGTAACCTAAAGGCTACTGATGTTTTTGTTTGTTTTTTTCTTTTCTGATTTACTTGCCCTTCTATTTTAATGAACATGGGTTTAGTTTTGCTACAATTTGCTTTACATATTATCTAGAATTTGGACTACTTGAATGTATTCTCCAGAGTAGAATTAAGCACAGTCACTACAGTGAACTACCAAACAGTCACTGGGTGAAATTCCCCTCTAGTAGTAACTAGCTAGTGAACAGTCAAATGGGTGAAAGTCCCTGCTCTTTAGCGAACAGTCACTAGGTGAAACTCCTATCTAGGGTTACTGACTAGAAAAAGGCAAAAGGGTGCAATTCCCTGTGTAGTTGAGTGTAAAGACGGGCTGAGACTTTCTCATGAGGGAGAGTAGATTCAAGGGAGCAGTTAAGAATGGAGATATTATGTATTGTAAATGGAAAATGTTTCTTTCAGAAGTGCAATTTAACCAACATCATCTCTTACAGTAGAAGACAACTAAGTCAACTAAGCCAACACAGATGCCTGCTTAGAACAAAATTGAAACATAAATGTGTCAAAGGGGGGAATATAAGAAAATTTGTTTTAGATCACTTAGAGACTGTTTTCCATTTTTCAACTACAAGACCTGTAACCTGACAACGCCCTTCAGGACAAAGACAACCACAGGGAATGGTCTGAAGCCAGGAAATAACATTCCACCTGGTCCAACCAAAAGCATCTTGTCCTGGGCAGAATCAGACCTGCATCATTTAACCATCCTTCTGCTTTACAACTGTCACTGGAGAAAAACTTCACAAAAGTTCAGCCATCCACAACTTTTCAAAACTCGACTTGTTCCTCTTGTGCTCAACCACAGCCCTGAAGATGGACACATGGGCCAAAGGATGACTCCAGAGACGAGCTGTGGCTCAGAGAGAGGCCAAGCTGCGTGGGGAGACTAAAGCCATGTGTGGTCAAAGGGAGGACAAAGGGACAGAGGACAGGTGATATTACAAATCATACTGGAAATGGACAAACTGAACAAAACAATCCTCCTTAAAAGTGAACTGTTGAATTTTCCTCCAACTAATGGAACTCACTTTAACTCCATGGACTGTTTTAAATCCACAATATCTTTCCACATATTCTGTGTGTGACAATGACTGTTTATGAAGTATGATTAATGAATAATCAAAAGGGAGAATGTGTGATAGAAATTTAGATTGTGGAAAGATTTCTCTCAATCTGTCTTGTGTAAATTAATGTGATTTCTACCTGAAACCCAGACCAGTCATTAACATGTGTAAAGGTTCATCAGGCACAACTGTCTCCGCCTTCAGGAAGCCTTTTGTTATCATCAACTGTATGTTCATTTAGCACCAGCCTCTGAAACCAAAGTCACTCTGCTTTGATATGTATGCAACTTGTATTTCTGAATAAATACTGAGAGCTCAAAGGCTCTGGGAGGGGACATGGGGGAGACAGGGTGAGAGGCTGTTGGGCTTTGGCCGAAACAGGCCTAGGCCCTGTCCATATCTGCTGTAACAAGAATAAACCTTGGTCTATATTCCAAAAACTCATCGGGCTTCGCAAATGGATTCATTATTTATCTTCAAGAGATATATATAATTTTTGACACAACAGTCATATTAAGTATATTCATGTATGGCTGCTTACCATTGACTCACTAATGAGAAGCAGCAGCAATGCTTCTTCTGTATTTTCCTGAGGGCAGAACAGACTGAGGAGAGAGAGTCAAATATAATCAGTAAAAAAATTGAAGAAAAATATACTACTGCCACTGCCAATTTTTGTGGCATTTTGGCATATTTTTCTCCACTTTCCAAGTTTAGCCGAATGCATTATCGCTTACTTCTCTCCAGAGTACACTCGAGGGCGTCGGCTCAGAGTGTAGTTCTTGCTGTGAACGTGTCCATGCCGAGTGGGATCGTCCAATGGGGACACTGTGGGCGGGTCTTCCAGGGGAGACCAGTAACTCTGCTCACACATCCCCCTAAGCAAGATCTCTGCAAGCTGTCTCGCTATGGTCTACATGCAAAAAAAACCCCAAAACAAACAAAACAAGTAGGGTTACAGTTAGCTGGTATAAACTCATTGCATTAAAAGTGCACATAAAACTACCATGCGCAGGTTCTGAGTGGTTCTTGTCTCAACAGCCCGAAGAATCTCACGAAATCGGCCAACACCTCGAGTCAAGTTACTGTACAAAAAATATTAAAAAATAATTGATAAAAAAGATAGTCTGTGATAGATTTTTATTCTGGGAGAAAATTACTGTCAAAATATTAAGCACCCTCAAGCTGTTTGATGTCTGCATATTGGATATTTACTGCACTTACATTTGGGTACTTTATATTAGTATAATAGTGGTGATTATTTACACATTTATTGTACTAATTTAAGTTAAAATACAAAAATAATGACTAATTCACCATCTGGCAGAATGTTCTAACCACCTCTGTCGTAGCAATAGGCAACAACACCGTCTTCACACCTTTTTCCTTTATCTGCCTGTCAGCAGCTTTGTAACTTTGTGTGAACAAAGTGTGAAGTGGAAAATGTTTTTGGCACTGCTTCTTGATAACAATCTTTGTGTGCAAGTGTATATGTATATTACTACACTCTTATTGTACTCTAATATTTCACTCACCCATTTTTGAAGTGAATAACATGAGCTCTTTGCAGGCCAGTCTCCAGAAAATAACCTAGCTCTTGTTCTTGTGTAGCTGGACCTGGTTTAGGGCTGCGGTTCTGCATCCCTGCTGACAAAGCCTGAAAAAAAGAAAATTAATATGAAGAAAAGTAACGCAGTTTATGGAAAAAAATAAATAAAAATTCACCAGTTGGCACTACTTTGTTAGGCAGACTGTAGGCTATTTGTAATACCCACCCACAGATTGCATAGTTTGTTTTAACCAACAAGAGAACTAACTGTTCACTAAGATTAAAAGCACACCTTCTCAGCCTCTTGCAGGTAGAGAAGAGCAATATCTCCTGATTTTTCATAGCATGTGATGATTTCCTGGTCCCTGTCTGTTGTGCCCCTGTTAGATGATGGAGAGCCAGTGTTCCTGTTAGCCAGAGATGGAGAGGAGGCAGGCACCTTTTCAAGACAAAGGCCTGAAAAGAATAACACAAGATAGCAAATGCAGATAATTAATTATGTAGGTTGTTAAATCATCAAACTAAAAGTACGTTAGTCTGTTCTCTACTATAAATAGCACAGTGCTACCACCATGTGGAAGCAAAGCTAAACTACATAGCCAGATTAACCCAAGCAACGTTTTGTAGTTTAAGATAAATATATTTCTGCAATCACTGATTACTCCAAGTATAACATAAAAATATTTCAATCATTGTGTCTTGTTGTTTACCTTTAGTCGCATAAGCCTCTGCAATCATAGAAAGCCTATAGACTGGAGCCCCTCCCAGCTGCAGCTCATCCAGATTCACCTTGTTGTAGTGACCTATTTATTTGGAAAATATTAATTAGCCTTCAGACAACAAAGTGGACCAGTCAGTAATGGGCACAAAACCTACCTAAGGCATCGTTGTAGTCCCCTTCCACATAACAGAGCTTTGCCATCAGCAGACTGGCCTCCTGCAAGTAGTCAGGCTTTAGGTTCCCTCGGTCCAACGCTGCTGTGAGGTGTTTTCTGACCTCCACCAGTTTGGGCCGTGGACCTCTTGGACTAGCCCCTTGTTTAATGGGATTCTCTTTAAGATAAGTCTGCAGTTTACATTCCCCCAACAGCAATTCTCCAAGATCATCTGTGTGACAAAAGCAAGCACTTGTGATTAAACTTAATATTACAACTACAATTATAAAAACAATCTCTATGACAATGTAATTCCATGTACTTCAATGTTCAGTATAACTTAAACTAGCAAGTAAGACTACATTTGTCATTATGTAACAATGCAATGCCCTCAGTAAAATTCATTTAGTTTGTTCACAACCATCTAAGAGAACCACATACCAACCAGCATTATGAACAATCATGGCAATCCTCTGAGGTCATGGGCTGACTGAAATGACCAGTAATCCGGTTATAACCGTTTCAGTAGATGACCAACAAAAATATGTAAAACTTTTCACATTCCATATAAACCCTTCAAAATCATGCAGGTCCATTAATCCAGTCATTCACATTATTGCACCCTTAGTTATTACCCTTCCTATTTTAAGATCCCAGAGCTAACATACAGACATCTATTCAAGCTGAATATTTATAGATAAGCATGATTCTTTGAATGAGGGCAATTCAATGTACACCGGATGACATTGCATCTTTAACCTTCCCATGTTCAGTGATGAGGGCATCAGAGACACAGTGGACTTCTTACTCTCATAAATCCAACTCAGAAAAGAGTTAACTATAGAAGTCAAGCGCATGGAAAATGTAAATTGAGTATTGGAAATCGCCAGTGTGGGCTGTGCTGTCAGGAAGAGTCGAGGACTCACAGAGGAGAAGGCCTTTGGCGCTAAATGAACACAGACTAGTGTCTTTCTTACCGTTTGAGATGAGTTTGGCTGAAAGCTGCCGCACCAGCTCCGGGATTTTGTCCCATTGCGCCTCAGATCGACACCGCTCAATTTCGGTCTCCAGTCGTGAGCCAGACTTCTTCGCTGTCATTTTGGGCCGACTCAGCTGGACCAAAACAGCCGGAGAGCTTCCACTGCCCAAGCGATCTGGACTGTGAACTAGGAAGATCCGGATTAAACTTCAAATTAAGAAAAACTTTACCAAAATGCTAGAGTTTACAACAAACCTACCCAAGAAAGGCTAAAGTTTTGTTTTGGATGGACTTATTTGCACTACAAGTATTTAGAGTGAGTGTTTCTTCTTGTCGTTGGTCTGCAAAAAACAATTACAATCCAAACTCAAATCTTTTGTTTTGAAAGTACAAAAATACGCTATGAAATCTTAACGGAAGTCATATAAGTCCAAACACAGCTCTGTTCTCGCTGTGCTGAGGCTAATCGACATGGCACAATTGTCTCTGTATTTAACAAATATAAACATTTCTTTGGGTCAAACGATGGAAAACGAAAAGGTAAGTAAGTAATTCATTTGTGGGTAAAATGATTCCTCCTTAAGAAGTATTATAGTTAATCAACAGTTAACTTCCTTAGCAAGATAGCTAACTAAGTCTACTTAAATAGCCCCCGAATTAAATCCCCCAAAATCAGGCTGAAAAGGACGGAACGACTATATTATGTATTATCCATTAAATATGACCAATGATATACAGCTAAACTTTAATAATAACTTACATTGTTCCAAAGCAAGCTAGGAAAATTTTCAGACAGTGTGGTAGCAATAAAAGTAAATGTTTCTTTCAGGGTGTGGATGGGTCAACTAGTTTGGAAATGCAAGACATGAGCCAAAAGAAAGTAAAGGTTCCTCGTAGGACTATCTACTTTGCCAGTGGAGAAACCATGGAGGAATATAGCACTGATGAGGAAGAGGATGTAGAACCTGCCCAGAAAGATGTCCTGCCAGTAGACACAGTGGGGCAAATATTATTGTCTATCTTTTACAGGATGCTTTATTGTTTATTGGTCCTCATACTGTGTTTGTATGCTATAGTCAAAAATGACCTGGGGTCCTTATGTCTGGTTTCAAATGTGGAGAATGGCAACTTCAACAGTCTCAGGTAAATATTAAGGATTTCCAACAGTTTCTGTGCTCAATGCTGCTCAGAAAATGAATAGATAAATACTGCTAGTAACATCTTGTCCCTCTTGTTCAGTATGTGATTACATGGGTGAGAAAATGGCCTCTCTTTTTGGCATCACTACTCCTAAATATCAATATGCTATTGATGAATACTACCGTATAAAGAAAGAGGTAAGTCCACAACAATTTCTTCAGATAGACATAAGACATATTCACAACAATGGCTTATGTGTGTGTAGGAAGAGGAGGAAGAGGAGGAGAATCGTCTTGCGGAGGAAGCAGAGCGACAGTTTCAACAGAGCAAACAGCCAAGTGATTCTACCACCATGCAACAACCAGAGTCATCATTTGTAAACATTAACTTTGACATTGAACATGATTCATGCCCTGAAAGTCAAGACATAAATGGCACAGATGGTTAGATTAGAACCTCTAATATTTATGGGGTAAACACACTTTGATTTTTAATCATACTATTTTTTTAAATGTTCTTTCTACATTTTCTTGTTTGTAGAACTCAGTGTAGGATATTTTATTTTTGTTGGCCAATCACTACATCTTTTTAAAAATTTCACTGTAAAACGTAGGTGCATCTAGACCTCTTGCATTTACTAACTGCCAATTTACAAGAAATGTACATGTACAAGTTACTGAATGTTAATAGTTTCATTAATCCTTAAAGTGTCCTTGCTGAATGTACAGTTGTCATAAAACTCTAATTAGATTATGTTCAAATAGATTTTTCATGGTAACAAGCTTTAGTTCAGTGGAAGTAAAGCACAAATGTTTAATAATAGCCATGTGATTTGCCAAAAATATATACATTTCTACTACTCCTCTTTATATGAAAGATGTGATTACATAAGTACTCCTGAACTAATTCTGAATAACTTAATTTAATAATAGAATATAAAGGGAATAGAGTAGGGTATTTCTACTAGTTTATGAAATATTCCATTGTGAAGGATTTTTTTAACAAATGACCGAGAAGTATGGAAGCAAATGTTTTATTTAACTATTTTACATTGATCTGTACATAGTAAATATTTATTTTGTGTCTTAATAAAAAAAAAAAAAATAAATTGTTTGCTTTCATTTTTTTCTGTTGCTTAAACTTACAAAAAGGTATCTAATATTTGAAATGCAAACATGTAAAAGAACAAAGAGAAAGTAAGCAGTAGGAATGGCCCATTAAGACTTGTAGAAAATAAGCTTAATATTTCTGTAGAAAGGAGAAGTCCAACAGACCTTTTACAAATCTGTATGACACATTACTTCAAGTGTCATCGAGGTCACTTGTGTTGCTACTATTGTTGTCATTGGCAACTAGCACTTCTCTGTTTTCATATGTCCAAAAGCCGTTAAGGTCTATCAGGATACTAACAACAGTATCACCCTGACAACAGTTCACCAAGTCCTGCAAGGTGATTTTATATGGATCCTTGGGCTTCACCATGTCGTAGATCTCATCCTAAAAAAGGGAAAAATCTCAGTCAGTATTTAGTTCTAAACTTTACCTTAAAAAGCCATGGGATACTGTGTGGAAAATGGACCTTGACATCTTGAAAAGTCACGGGCTCTTGACCATGAACTTTCATCTGCTCTTGTATGGCCTAAAAATAACACACAATACAAAAATTTATCATACAAGTCATACAACCAGGCATAAAGGAATTTGCAACTGGCCAATACCCTAAAGAAATAGTTGAGTGAGAAGACATTGAGATATCCTTGGTTCTCCATGTCTAAAAGTTTAAAGATGTATTGTAATGCAGCTGGTTCTTTTCGGTTTTCCAGGGCCAAAACAAAGTCTAAATATGTCTTATAGTCCTACAACATAGAATAGAGTATACAATTAGTTTTGAGTTTATTTTTTAAGAAAAAAAATCATAGGCTTAAATTATACCATTTCTCCATCATATGTGAGGCACTCCTGAAACACCCGGTCAAGGAAGACTGACGTCAAAGTGGCTGTTCCATAACGAGACAGCTCTTCCTTGCTTAACATACCATTGTGGTCTTTGTCCAGATTAAGATACTGGCCTAAAAAGATGTTTCAAATCATTCAGTATTTGTCTACACACTGACAAACATTGTAGAGTGAACTTATTTACCGTAGACCCTTAGGGCAGACGGAGCTGAAAACCAGTTTGACTCCTGACTCTCTTTTGACAGTTCTTCATCTCTCAACTGTGCATACAGACAGAAGCAAACAAAGGTGACTGGTTAAAGGTAGGTCCTATGGTGGAAGTAGACATAGAGACATGTGTTTATATCTACAGTTATAACAATAAATATATTGATAATACCTCTAACAAGTCATCCAAAAAACTACATGCCAAGATGTCCTGGATTTTTATCTTCCCTGGATGAAACAAACAAAATAAAAACCAAACTAAAGTTGTATTAAGAAGTTATCGATTGCTTTGTTTGCTCTGGCCGACTCGTTTACCTGTTCGCAGAGGGTCAAGGAAGAAAAAAAACTTGCGGACAGCAGTGCAGACATAGAAAGAGTAAAATGACTTTTCCAATCCATCGAGCTGAGGCAGAGTTGGGATCAATTCCAAGATGTAGTTCTCAAGATCCTGAAAGTGGTTGATTGGATATTTAATTAGAAAATTAATGCAGGGTGTTTTTTTTATGTAATATATGTAATAACTCACAGATTCTCTGAGGTAACCCTGTCCTGCCACATCATATAGGCTTAAACCTATCCTGGTCTGATGTAACCACACTAAAATGTATGAAGAAGGAAAACAATCATAATATATTTTGTATTTAGTGAACCATTGTTTGTTTAAGAAAAAAGAAGAGCATCAAACCTTTCCTCATGACATAGTTAAAGAACTGCATGATGGAGATTCTCCCATAAGGGTCATTGTGAAGCAGCTTAGCATAAACTCGAGCAGTGAAAAATTTTCTAAACATTAAGAGAGAGTACAGTTTATTTAAGCATGAAAGTTACATTATGCAGTAAACATCTGCTGCAGCAGGTTTACTCACTTGCACTTTGGCCCAGCTTTCTCACCCACTTGTAAGTAGGCTTCATAACTAATCATGGCCTCTTCTCCTGTTATTGGAGGAACCTGATGCTTATCAAGAAGAAACCAAAGATTCTGCAAAAAACAAACAAACAAAAAAAGTCTCAGAGATGACACATCAACATCAGACTATTTAGTTGTTAGTTACTGCCATGTACCTGAAGTTCTTCATTATCCAGCAGTTCTCGACTCTTCCTTTGCAGAAACACAGCCCTCGATTCCTCTCTCAACTTTTGCAGAAGTATCTCATCTTCTGCTGGAAGCTGTAATGGCAGAGTTGTAATTAAGCATTTTCAGAGGGTAAGTAATTGGTAATCAATCCTCGAGTGTGTATTTATTACGTAGTATCAGTAAAGTGTAATTACTCTATAGTAAAACCGTGGGATGTTATTGTAGGACGTGTCTTTGTCGCCTCCTCCCTTCCACTCTGTGTAATACTTTGTGAAGAGCTCAGTTTCTTCTGCTTTCTTTTCCTCCTCGCTTCTTTCATCTATCAACGAAACATGCCAGATAACATTTACATATAAAGCATATAGACATATCCAGTCTAAACAGTTGAGTCACTTTGTTGCAATGGTTAGTTATTGTAGGTGGCAATTTAGCATAATAATTTGTTTTCTCTCACCCTTGGGAGTGTTTTCCAGCCTCCTTTTTAATACCTCAGACCAGTGATCGCTTTTTTCGTCTTCCATAGTTTTTAAAGTGTTGAAATGCGTACAATATGTGTTAAATACTAGCAAAAAATCGCTATTTTGTAATGGTCAGCTATGCTACGGAAAATGAGAACAACTGAAAACGGAACCAGAACTTCGTTATCACTCGGTCCTTCAGCGTAAAAGAGCCCTGAGCCGAAGTGACAGTGAAAGTAAAAAATGTTTCAAGATAACGGTAATTTACTGATAAAAAGAATTTTCTAGTCAAAAGATATTCAAGTTGACTAGTTTAACTCAGATTTTGTTTACATCCGTGAACGAGTGCAACTCATGCTGCAACTTGATGCAATTGTCAAATGTTGATGACGTCAAATATGCGACTCAACCCATGTCTCCAATGTTTCACTTCAGTAAAATGTAAGGACTTTTTATTTTCAAATAGATTTAAATGTTATTAGAAAGGTGTTTAATTATGATGAGTATAGTGTACAAAATCACGAGATGCATTAATGTTAACGTGGCTTCTTTCCTGATCCAGTGATATTATATTTGATGGTTTGGTAGTCTATTAAATTATTCTATTTCTTGTTTAAGCTGTCAATACATTATTTTATCAAGTAGAAGTTTGTTGGTGCCATGAGGTCAAGCATCATATGCAAACTCAAAACCTGTTCAATGCATTTTAACCCTGTCTTGTACCATGGGACTGTTGTCAATAGGGAAACTTACTTGATTTCAAAACTGTACTACAATGCACGCTGTTTAAGCTCTAAAAATACATTTCAAAAGACCAACGCGGTAGACAAAACCCAAAACAAGGATTCAGAGAACCAAAGAGGTTATAGAGACAGATATGGAAAAGAGAATGGCCAGAAGGAAAGAAACTGGATAGACACGTCTCTGCAACGATCCTCTACCAAATCTGTGTTTGCTGCTGGGACTGCAAAGAAAACAGCAGAAATACTGAGGAAGAAAGCAGCTCTGGTCTCTGGGATGCGGCCAGCCACTCTGGATGACCCCAAACCGAAAACAATAGCAGGTTTGGGGAAAGAAAATTAAACAGTGCAAAAATTATTCACAATACTAATTATGTTTTGTTTTTGACAGAGAGGGACAAGCTTCCTGATCGACCCCTGTCTGTTGCAGAGTGGAGAAAATTGAAGGAGTCTATGATTAATGTCCAGCGTTTTGAAATCTACACAATGAATGGACTGTTCAACACTGGAGCAGATTTGGATATTGCCAAGTAAGAAAATTATTTACATGTATTCAGTTTTATTTCATCATGCCTTTTATATATGACCCAACTTAACTTTTTAATAAAATGCATTGTAATGTCAGCTAGGGTTAACAACACATCACTTAGCAGAAACTGAGAGTTCAATAATTATTAATTTAATTTAAAAAAATCCAGATTTCTTTGTAAGAAAAAATATGATCATGTTTTGTACAATTCATGTGGGATCAATGAAAAAGTGGGAAATTCTCCAAATAAATTTGACAAGGGCACTTTAATGTTACTGTATGGTTTTCTCACACAGATCATTGCTGACTTTTGTTGTCACTGAAACGGGAACCCTGTCCTATGAGTTGCTGCTAAGATATCTGACGCTTTGTGTGATGGGCGGCCATGACAGTGAAGTGTTTGACGTCTATGACATCATGCGAACATCTTTCCCTTCCCTGGAAACAGGAGCCTCCAGCCTCTTTATAAAGTCCTTCTGCCGCACAGAGAGGTGGAGGAAGGCTCTTGTCATTCTGCAAGAACTCAAAAAGGTACAATCAATCAATTATATGTATACAAGAAAGTAAGAAAAGAAAAAAACAAGTAAGAAAATATTCTGATTACAAAGTTTAGATTACAAAAAAAAAGAGATAAGAACTAAAAAAAAATAATAATCTGAACAGATAAATATTTATACAGGTCAAATATCTTCATACAATGTGTGAATTCAAGGATATTCTTGAAGATTAAAATTTGATTATATGATATTCCTTGTCTCTTACATCTAGCTTTGTTTCTATTTTTAACAGGTAGTCACCCCATCACCACGTAACTATGGTGACATAATATCAGCTGCAGTTCAGCACAGTGATTTTACTACAACCTGGATGCTTTATGATGAGTTAATAGAAAAAGGACTGAGCCCACATGCTGAGACCTGGGAAGTGCTTTTCAGTGGAGCAAATGGGACTAATGCAAAGGAAGAGGAGGAAAAGATCAGGCCTCCACTAAAGCAGCGGCTTCTGGGTATTCTGCACCACATGCGGGAAAACCAGATCTATCCACCAAAAAACTTGGCAAAAAGCATCAAGACCTGGTTTGAAAGGTAAATCAAGAGTACACTTTTGCTGTATAACAAATGATGTACACTGTTGTGCCTATGGTTGAAAGCATGTGGCCAGTCTAATGGCAGGTGTATCCTGTAATACTATCTCCTACAATTTGCAACAAGCAATGACATTTGCCTTTAAATATATTCTATTTTTAGTCTTGAGGACCAAAAATGGGAAGGAAGGTGGACCACTACCTCCCCAAAGTAACTATTCTTGTATATTTATACTAATACTATTAAGATGGAGTTTAATGTAAACAATAATGTGATTGTAGACAATGGACATGATGTCTGTGTGTTTAGGGGCATGTGCCACTGTTGTGGGACTGAGCTGGAGTCCATTCAGCTGACTGAGGAGGAATACAAACAGCTCAAAGATAAAGTGATGGTCAATGTCATCCAGGGACAAGATGTTTTTAACAAGACTACCCCTCAGGTTGGTTTATGGATTATATTTAATCAGCCTTTTAAAACGTATTAAACCATTAGAGGTTTGGTATGCCAAACAAACAGCTGCTGGAACTGTGGAGAAAAATCTCCCCTTTGATCAACTTAAGCAACTGGTTCGATATTCGGTTCGATCATTTGGCAACATTTGCAACAGTTCTTTGTAGTAACAATACAAAGGTATTTAGGCATTTAAATATAAAATTATGCACATCCAGAACAAAATCTATAGTGCTGTATAGGTTGAACAATGCATGCAAAAATCAATAACATTTCATAGTTTTATGGTTTATAAAAATAATGGCAACAACAACGTATTAACCGTAAACTTAATTTAAACTAAACCTAAACTTATAACCAACAAGACAGTTTGGTCTCTTTCTTATTCTCTGTTCATATTCAAGGAACATACAGGCATAGAAGCTGCCATACATTATCTCAATATTGCTGACATGCAAGAACCTGTAACAAGTAAGACTGCATAAAAAGACACACTGAAGAAAGGTTAGTTTAGTTTAAAACTTTGTGTAGATTAGCTATGATACAACACCCTTTTATTATGCCAGAATACAACTTCATTCATATGTTACTCTATAGTATGTGTATTATGCTGCTTGTAGTACGTAATTCAGGTCAGCAGAATTTACCACGGGCTGGTTTTCAAAATGCTGTCATTCTTTGCGTGTAACTGTGCATAAATGGCACCATCATCTTATGTATGCATGTGTAGCCCAGTGTGTGTGTTTTAAGCAGTCATATTATCCACCGCCGCACAATGAACGGGTTTCACGTATCAGCTCTGGAAAGTCCCTGGATAATTATACTGGATTTTCTCTTGGTCTGTTTCAGCTCTCCTTTTTCTTTCCCTCCTCTCAGTTCACTACTTTATACAGTGTCCATAAGATTCAGATTGTATTAAAACATTGCCATTGTATATCTCTAAACTTCCCCAGGCTTATTATATACAATCAACTGCATTATATTACGCAAAATTTACTCTTGCGATCTTTAAGCCATGTTATTGTTGATGTTATTAAAAGGAGTTGTGTTTTCTTTCATTCACACATGAGTAATCCTGGTTTACTAGTCTCCAAAGCTCAAAATGCTCTGTTCCACCTTGTGATGTCATGTAGTGGTAGTTTTCAAGTTAACGGTTACCTTTTATTCAGTGTTTTCAGTTTGGGTATATTTTTGACAAGGAAACATTATAGCATAGATCAGAAAATAGTGTAATATGGGCTCTTTAGGCTGACAATATGTCCACCGTCTTGCAGGAAGATTGCAAACTTTATTCTTTAACATTCTTATTCCTCTGCTATATTACATGTTAATTTGCATGTTAGTCTGCTGTTTCAAGGCCAGGGGAATTCACACAAGCCTATTTCCATACCACTGCTATCTAAAAGTGAAAGTCTCGACAATTCCTCCGTACCAGACATCTATTATAAGATCCAAAATATGTCGCCTATTATGGTAGAAAGCTGGTCAACTCTTATTTACTGTTTCTTGTATTGAGCTTTGTAAATAACTTCTTCTGTACACTACAAAGGAAGTTGTAACCAAATAGTTGTGTGTTTTACCATCAGCTGGAGGCCTTCAACTTCAAATAATGCCCACAGAAATACTTTTAACTCACTGGAGCTGGCCAGGTAGATTTACTCTCAAAAGGCTTTGATCGGTCACAGCAGGACCGAGGAAAGCAGATAGCCCCCAGTTCTCAGTCAAAATAGGAAACAATCATGTGGTATTTTTGGTGATCTTTGCTCTAGTATACATTACTGTCTGCATACCTTTTTTGCTTTTACTTGTGCTTGATTTGTACTTGATTTTTAATGTGTGTGTCCCCTCAGGAGCTGGAGAGGTTTAAAGCATTTGTGAAAAGAAAGCCTGCTTTTGATGTGGTTGTTGATGGACTAAATGTCGCCAATATCAATAAAGATAAAAGCAAGCTCTCAGAAACGGTAAGACCGGTGAATAAGTAAAAGAAGTTAGCAATTTTCACTGTGCTGCGGTGATTTTGAGACCTTGGCCTCAATCCAACTCAGGGGCTTTTTCTATACTTTGTACTATGACTAAACCAGCTCAAATTGTGCATGTGGGTGTGACAGTCACCTTTAAAACTGGCCACTGTCTTTATTTAACATTTGGCCTACTCGTCTGCCTGCCCACATTTGTCTGTCTAACAGGAAGTGTGCATCTTAAAACCTCAATCTTTCAGCTTTTAAAAGAGTGAAAATCCAAAACTGAGTCACATTTTTACACAATATCAATATATGTTTTCTCTTTTTTTTTATTATTAAAAGAATGTTCTATCATCCATGTGGTTTTACTGATTTGCTGTTGACCTCTTGATTAAAAAGATGCCCTATATCCTTCACTAATCAACATGATAATTTCAAAATCTCAGTTAAAATGTAACTAATATCATGTCACCACAATATGTTCACCATTATTTGCCTATTAAATATTTACATGTATACTTTGTCATGTTTCAGTTGTTGGCAGTGGTGTCTGAGCTTGTGCTTCAGGGTCAGACAGTGCTAGTTTTGGGGAGAAAACACATGCTGCGTCCAACCAGATCCTGGGACAGAAACAACATGAATTCTCTCCAGCAGAAAGCCCACTGTTTCTTCACTGAGAACATGTGAGTACACCAGACACAATAATTATGATTAGACTTGTTGGAAAGCACCCACTCACAGCAGCTGAGCAGGAGCTGTTTGTAGAAAATACTGAAATCTTTTTATGTAATCAATAAATGATAAAATTGACCCAGTACTATGGGGAACATCGAATGACCATTTTGATTAAGTTACAAAACATAGTAGCAACACATAACCATGTTTTTCACTGAATAGTCTTCTAAGTAACACTTTTCTCACAGCTCTGAGGATGATCCTTTCCTGTTATACGCTGCTTTGCATTCTGGGAATCACTGTCGCTTTGTGAGCAGAGATCTAATGAGAGATCACAAGGCCTGTCTGCCAGATGGAGCCACCAAGCGCCTCTTCTTTAAGTGGCAGAGGGGACATCAGCTGGTGGTTGACGGTTACATAGCACCAGGAAGGAAAGTCTGTTTTCAGGTAAGCTGAAAAAGCACAAGAATGACAGGAAAGGAAAGAGGAAGTTTAAGCAAAAAGACATTTCGGTTTTATTTCAGGGCATTCCCAGCTATGACACTATTATCCAGACGTCAGGAGGTTCATGGCATATTCCCTATGATGACTCAGACGACAGATGCACCTATGAAGTGCCACAGAAGTGGTTGTGCCTTACAAGTCAACAACACTGAAACTGATTTTCCCCATACCATACAGTACATAACAAATGTATAAAATTAAAACTATGTTGATAAAAGCAAATGTGTTTCTCCAGTGTAGGATCTTTAAATGGTGTAGTATTATTGACATTTTCAGTTTAGTAAGAACAGAATATTGTTACTTGAAAAGTACAATTTAAAGAATTTGGTTCAAATATTATGTAAGTGGTGCACTAAAATTAAATACAAATGTTGCTCAAGCTTGTTACAGTTACAAATCCTTAGACATTATCAAGTCTATGTATCAAAATTATTGACCAAAGCCTGAATAATGAGAGGGATTTAATTGTATGAATCACATAATTTACTGGAATTCAAAAGTAAATTTCAAATCTCAAATTGAACAGAACCAAAAAGTTTTCATTTCAGTTCATTTTTATCCAACTCCCTTCCTTCCCAGTACTGTCACATCCTGTTGTTGGGGACTGTCGCATGAATACTGAGGACAGCTGAGTGTTCTGTTCCTGGGAATTTCCTGCCACTTCCTCAATGACCCCACCCTCTGAAAAACTTCCTGCATTGAATAAGAGCCTCAATCCGACACCCATTTCCCAAACACCTTAATGCTCAAAGTACACACACACAGCAGGAGCAACTATCCTTGATTCGTATCTTTTCCGATTTCTATGAAGTTGTTAAGGTTGCCAAGTTTGAAAATAAAAGCAATTCTGAGTAATAATATTTGTCATATTAAATACATTTTTAAATAAAATGTTGACACAAGTTCTGTTAAATACGAGTTTTAATTTAAGTGGAGAGTGTTGGACTGTTTGCTGTCTGACATATACAACTTGCTAGACTATACACTTCACAGCTTCCATAAAAATACATCTTTTTATACACAGCATTTACAATATACAACAGAGTCGTCACGGTACAATTGTTTTAGTGATGAAATTTACAACGTCCACAGAAAATAATTAGGTGTCCATTTAATCAAAGAGCAATACGAGATCCCATCCTGTAATTTGTAGTATCTGTACACATCATTGTCTTTCATTGTTTTGTCTCCAGGCTTATCTCTTTGCCAGCCAGTCTCGGGAGCGCCTCTGCAGCTGCCTGTTTATGTTGCCCAATGCATTCTCGTGAATAGGCCTTTGGGCATTTGATGAAGAAATAATAAAGTTCTTTCTTCCATTTCAAAACCATCAACATTAGTTATCGGTTTCTTCATCACACCTTTCCCAATGTCCTCTAATGTCCATTCCACTGGATATCGTCGTACCCCACCTGCAAATAAATGCAAAAGAAACATCAGTATTTCAGTAAGACCTTCCCATGATTTGATTTTACTATGATTTCTAACACGCACCTCCTCATCTTCCTCCTCGTCTTCCTCCTCGCTGTCGTCATCCTCACTGTCTGGAAGCTCTCGTAGGCCGGGCTTAGTCAGTGAGTACAGCTCCTGCCTGATTTGCTCATTGTCGCGACCATATGTGAGGTGAAATGGTGTGTGACCAGCGGACGTGAGGAGATTTGGGTCGGCACCTTTTCTGAGCAGCAGTTGTACCAGCGAGAGATTCTGTTGGTCTACAGCGAGATGTAGTGCCCCACGACCACTTCTTTGTTCCTAAAAAAAGCCAAGATTTTGTATTAAGTCTGTGGCTAAAATCATAGGCATTTCTTTCTGCATGCAGTTCATTTTAGTGAGTTTACCTTGGCGTTTATGTCGGCCCCTAAATCCACAAGGTTTTCCACTAGCGATAGAAAGCCGTGAACTGAAGCTAGGTGAAGACAGTTTTGACCTGCAAAAATAAAATAATAAGATGTTACTACAGTGGCATGACAAACTATTTCCTATTTTCACAAAGTTGTGATGATAGAAGGTTAGAGGGTACTTCCGTGCTCAAGCAAAGTACATCTTAAATAGTGGAATAACTTTTATATGCCAGTTAAAACAAAAAGCTACTGAGTGGTGTTTGGCTGAGCTGGACTACCACACAGGGCGTTACCGCATAATATAATAAAGCAACAATTTGAAACATAATATCTTGAGCAACCACTGTGTTTTTCAATGTGGAATTTTGTGATTAAATATAGTAGACTGATTCCTAACTAACTGAGGACAAGATGGGAATATAAAGCATTCAATCCCGAAACAGATAAAAGAAAAAATATAAGTGGCATTATAATAAAAATCCCATGTATAAAGTAAAGAGAGTGAGAAGAGCTCATTTTCTACAGATTGATAACCACCTGACAAAGCACATAATAAGCATACCATCTAAACTGTCCATAGGCAGACCTTGGATGCTTACCATGATAGTTAAAGGCAGCCATTGCAGTGTTTAGATGGTGGGGGAGGCAGTTCTGTGTGATCACGCTGAAACAGGGCAGGTTTCCATGTCGACAGGCGATGTGAAGGCCTGTGTCTCCGTTACTGTCGACGAGTGTGGGGTCACAGCCAGCTGCTAGGAGGCGCTCACATACACTCGCCTGATTTGTTATTACTGCTAAGTGGAGAGGAGTCTACAAAAGAAGAGCACAGGGAGAGGAGTTATATGACCTTGTACAAACAGAGCTGATGGAGTTTACCAATGGAATTCCATAAGATAACAATAAAGCTAAGATTACAGTTTAATCACTCTTCAGCATGAAGTACCAACCTGTCTCTGGTCGTTTTGTGTGTCAAGAAAATCTGTGTTCTTAGAAAGCTCAATTATTTGCTTGATGTAGTCCTTGGCTTCATGGATGATGGCCAGATGGAGCAACCTAAAACAAAAGAAAGACATTTTTACTCAACTTTACTCTTTGTGGTTCAGTGAGATGAGAAACAGTGACAAAAATATTGCTAAGCCCACCACAGCAAAAGGGTCACAAACTCAGTATACTGAGTGTGGTGTTCTTGTAGAAAAGAAATGTGGGCTAAAGTACAAAATATAGAAGAGCACTTCATTATTATTTGTGTATTAACCAATTATTACTGAAAGGCAGTAGGCTACTATAAAAATGTGTTCCTTCAAACCTTTAAGGCATATTCTCTGCAATGTGGAAATACAATCTGCGCGTAAAATAGAAAATTATAATTTAGGGGGTACTTTTCAAATGTTTCTCCCCTTCCATGTGGTCGGGGGCGCGCATCGGTCGGATTCCATGGCGGCGCGCCTGGGACTTTCCCAGTCTGACCCGCGGACATAGTAGATTCCCTCTCGATAATAGTCTTTTGTTTATGTTCAATGCCATCACGTCTGGCCACAGCTAACCCCATTGTTAAAGCGAACACGGGTGGTGTGCATTGTTAGCTCGAAAGTATTTGTCCGTAAAACTTGGATTTCAATGAAACTTTTAGGCCCAGGCCTGTGCTTTGTAATGACAGGCTAGAAGCAGACATTCCCCACAGGAAAGGGATCATATTACCTCCCAAGAGCAGAGCGAGGCCTACCCAAGCAGACGGGAAACCTAGCTCTAAATATACCAGACTGTCCATAACGTCATGCCTTATCTAACTTACGTGTCTCCGTCTTCGGTGGTCTGTGTTGTCCAGTGCTGCAGCTCTCCGGTTACAGTGGCTTGTTTGGACTCACTCTGCAACTGCAGCGCTCGGATCTCCGCGGCCACGGCCTGGTACTCCTCCTCTTTGAGCGAGTCTAAACCACTGTCGAGCCTCTCGTCCGTCGACGGCTTCTCTTCCTTAGAGTCCCGGTTATAATCCATTTGGCTGAATATACTGGTCCGGTATCGGTCCATGGCGGTCCCTGTAGCCCGCAGCGAGGCGTGTTTGGCTGGATTCAAAAGGAGTTTGGAGCAGTCTGCAGTAAATGCCCTCTGTGTGGCTGCGGCGGGGCGGGGCTTACAGCTAGGTGGGGGATTTCCAGAAACTGTCACTCACAGTAACAGTGTGTACAGATCTGTGGCTCCTGGAGCAGAAGGGGCTTTCTTTGAGGCAAATGCAGTCTACTCAGACTGTCAGCAGAAAGCCTAAATAAATACAATTCCAACTTCCAGCTTATTCAGCCTTGACTAAATAGTCATGCACACAAATTATGCAAAGTGTTGTAGGCCTGCTAAACATTTGGAAGTTCCAGAAATTTTCATTTGATTGAAGTTGAAGTAAATTTCTGTCTGACACGCATTATGATATGGGAAAAAGTCTCCTCGTTGAGTTCTTTTGCCTTTCCCCATTTTTGCTCTTTGTGAATTGTGCTGCAAGGGTTTCTGTTCTTGACATGAGTGTGTGTTGAACACATTTGGAAAGTCCTCAAAGTGCACTTTAATAATCTTTTTGCATGAATCACTTGAGGGAGAGGTGAGTGTACCAGCCCACAATAAATCTGCAAGATGCACAGGGGTTTCCGCCAGAAGTTCATTTGTGACTGCAATGTGATTTCACTTTGTTTATCTCACAGTAACATGATAAATGTACAAGGAGGAGGAACTACTGTAGTGGAGTTTCCCTAAGACCCACACAGGCCAATGAGAGGTTCAGGTTCTTAAAGATACACACGCATATACTCAAATAACAAAAACAAGGTGTGTTTTGAGATCCAAGTCCACCTCTCTACAGAATAAACTATTGGTGACCGTGTACTTTTGACAAATGAGTTCACATACTTGGAGTAATACAACTATTAATTGCTGTTCTATTTTAGATATAACTATTAATTAAATGTACTTGCGATGCCTAAACTGGAAGTACTCCAAGTTTAGTGCAAATCTGTGAAGCTTCACTGGACTGTGACCTTTCCTGGTTTAAAAACAAACAGCAGCAGCAGGTTGGGGGCCTGGGGGAAACTCCAGCCTTGGTTACCTCCCATTGTTTAGACGGTGAGACCAGTTCAACAGGCAGGCTCGGGTCTCAGCATATGTTAGTATCAGCTCTCAACTAGGAGACTAATTTCTCACCTATACAAGCATTAAGCAAATGGCCTATGCTTTAATGTTGCTACAATATATGTAAAAACTAATTTTAAAAACTGAAAACTAACTTTACATTTAGAGATGATATTGTAAATAAAAGCAGAAGAAAGGCCTATAGATGGTCACACATGCATAGAAGCAACACAATTTGAATGACTCTTTTCCAGAAGCCGAGACCAGTGGTTCTCAAATTGCGATACTGATACATAGCCTTGTATTAACAATGGCTTGGTTACATGTAATTTGGAGTACTGAACAACAACATAAGCACTGGACTACTGGACTTAAAAAGATAAACTTAAATTATTGATGACTGAAAGTGTTAGTTAATTACATACATATTTTGTATATCTGGAACATCTGACAATTGTCATTAATTGATAATTATTAATGTTAATATGTTGTTATATGATTAATTTATATTTGTCTTCTTTTAATGCTTTGCACATTTTGAATTGTCTGTCATAGAGAAATATTTTCTCTTTCACAGATTTTCTGTAAATTCACTCAAGGTTAATTTGGAGTCTAAATAGTATTTTGATCTCATAAGGCATACAGGTGTGTCTCTATATGCTGAGGAGTATTTCTGTTGTTACAGATGTCTAAGCTGTATGCAAAATATGTATACTATGTCATTTTTGAAGAGTACCTCTTATTCAAACAGGTGTCTCCTACACATTGTCAGCTTGTAGGATTCCCTGGGCTTTCTGTACTTGAATAAACCTGTACAACAATTGATGACTAATGTATGTGCAAACTTTCAGTTGAATCCAAAACTCTTCAGGTAAAGGGTCTGAGTAATCATGAATCACAACATCACATGTGCTGATCACAGACTGCAACAGCATGACACATGCACAAAAAAAGTCCCATTAACTATCAAAAACATGGCATCAACATTATACAACCCTGGTGTCCTTCAACCCTAACTCCATCATTTACAAGACCATGACAATACTATGCAACATTCACAAGCGAATCACTTTTGAAAATGTAATACTGTGGTACATTTCAAATAAAGCTTACACTAAAAGGTCAAAATATGGACATAAGAAATAAGGTTTAAGACTCAACATGGTTTTGTTTCATTTTATTGTACAAGTAGTGAGTGTTCTGCATAGTACAGTCCTTCACCAGGGAATACAAAGTCAATTGACTGATGACACTATAGTTTAGAAAGATATTTTACCTCTGGATTTTGATGTCAAAGGACGAGATTGTAGGCCTTAAATGAAAACAAACAAAACAAAAGGGTTACATTGGGTCTTGCTTAGTTTAGTTTTCTGTTTTATCTCTGGAACTTTGGTGAATGGTTATGATTTGATTTTACCACAAGATGGCGACAGAGTAATGGAATAACATCCAAGCTCATGAAGCCATGAAGGAACAAATGGGATTCCTCAAACGTAAACCTTTCAAAAATCCGCGTGTTCCGAATCCTTTGCTAAATTTTGGCTCCACCTGACGGCCAGTGGCAGAAGGCACACGGAGCCTGTATCATTTTTCGTAAACTGGCGCATTATTAAGCTGCCTCCCCAGTGCCCCATGCCAATTGCCTTATGCCTATACTTGACCCAGCAGTGACTATAGACTGTATATTTAGTGACTTAAGGGAGCATTATGTAACTTTTCTGGTGACGAGAGGTCACTTGCTTGTCTCCATGGACAAATAGACCAATTATTTTGTCTGAAATAGGCTACTACTTCAAATAAACTGTAGCCTATCTATTTAGTCTATTTTTTCTACAGATATTTTATAGCCAAGTAAAAAAAATACATAATAATGACTAAATAAATAAATAACAAAAACAAACCTTGCTGTGATCGTCTTGCCTCTCCATAGATCTGATCTGTAACTTGCCCTTGTGACCTCACATGCTTGTCTCATTGAAATTTGTGGGAGGCTATGTATTGCTTGTGCATATGACATTAATCATCATAATGCAACAATATTTCAAAGAACATTTGACAACTGCAATAAAAAAAAAAACAAGGCCTCATATACAGCCATTGCGGGGATGTTTCATGTTCTCAAGAGGATTCTCCGCACGACCCTAATCAAGCCAATCGCCTGACCCAGAGTCTGTTCTCACGCTCATCCTCCTTGATTGATTTCCAGAGGCTGGCTCTACCCCACTGGCCGGGCAATAGAGCGTCTGGCCCGCACACAGAAACTGCCTCACCCCCTGGTCTGAATGGATAGATGCCTCTCCGATCTCTTATCAGCCAGAGCAGTTCTCGAGGGGGCGGGCCGCACTGAATAGAGACAGATCTACATCTCATTCTCAGTCACACTGCTGCACAGTAAACCCAACAAGACATCAAACACCAGGCTATTTAGCTTAAATATAAAACTCAGACAATCAGACATTACACGAAGACAGAAAACTACGATAATCTAATTTTAGTTAGCTGTTAGTGTTCCCCCTCATGCAACGGGAACCCGGACAAACAAACATAAGTCTAAACATGTCCACCAGTGTATGGACCTTCAGGTGATTCGATTTCAAAATCCATGCTGAATCTGTTCAACTACAAATCGCCCTCGTCGAACAGGAGTTTCGAGGATGCTCCAAGTCTTCTGGTGCTGATGCTGCGCGCGCAGGTGCTGGAGACAGTTGCATCCAAGCAAACAGTGGACAGTGATGTGTCCTCCCCTCGCGCTCTTAAACCCCCTCCCTCTACACACTGCTGTCTCTCGTGCGTGTGCTCTTCAAAGCTCTACTTCAAAGTCGCTTCTTGACAACAGTTGTTTATTCGGTTCCCGTGCGTCATGCCTCGAGGATTTTTGGTGAAGCGTAACCGGCGGAATCCGGGCTCATACCGGACCAGAAAACTCACCACAGCTCTAAGTCCAGACTGTCATGAGAAGGCTTCACTGGGTGAGCATGCACAAGAACCGTGTCCAGTGCTCCAAGAGGACGTTGCACGCGCGTGGAGCCCACATGTAGAGCCCGCACTAGAGGCTGAAGTGGAGAAGCGTGCGCAACTCCCAGAAGCAGAAGAGAGGGGAACAGACGCTGTTACTCCAGACCACGACTCCACGCGCTTCTTCCCACCTCTACCCTCACGGGAGGGGTCTTGCGTACCAGTAACTCCAGTCAGCACGAGGGTTCTTGAACAGCAAGAGGAAGATGAGGGCAACTCTCCACTTTTCCAAGGGAGGTGCGTGACACCAGAGCTGCCGTTTCTCCTCAGTTCCACTCCCGCTTCAGTGCCGTTCAGTCGCCCCCACACAAGCCCCTACGGCCACGAGTCCAACATGCACGCGCACCTCTTCCCATCGCTCTCTATGCTCAACGAAGGACAGCACGGCGCAAGAAAGCGTTCCTTCGTAGAAACAGACCGGAGGCCGAGTAAAGTTAGCCTCACAAAGAAACCCAAAATCAACCGAAAGCTCCACTTTGAAGACGAGGTAACAACTTCGCCTGTTTTGGGGCTGCGCATCAAAAAAGAGGTACCAGACTCGAGAACACAGCGGGAGAGGTCCCTGAAGCAGCCGCTGGGGGAGTTTATCTGCCAGCTCTGCAAAGAGGAATACCGGGACCCCTTCTCTCTCGCTCAGCACAAGTGCTCACGCATTGTGCGCGTGGAGTACCGATGTCCCGAGTGTGAGAAAGTTTTCAGCTGCCCTGCGAACTTGGCCTCCCACAGGCGGTGGCATAAACCGCGCCCTGTGAACAATAGCCAGGTCCCAGAGGTGCAAACGAAGAGCCAGTCCCGCGGAGTTCTGCCGCTGGAGATGGACGGTAAAGAGAACGAGTTGCTGCGCATTGATAGGCACACCGACCACGGCACACCTGAGGGCTCACACGTGGGAAGCATGGGCCCCCCGCCCACACTACCCCCTCACTACCGAACCCACACGGACCCGCAACACGTGAGAGCGGCGGACAGCCCTCCCTCGAGCTTGCCGCTACCGTTTGCCCAACGTTTACAGGAAGAAGAACTGTATGAGTGTCGCTGCTGTGGGAAGAAGTTTCGGCGTCAAGCGTACCTCAAGAAGCACCTGGCAGCGCACGAGCCTCCGCTGACCACTTACAGCCAAGCGCGAGACAGCCAGGTATTTCTGTGTCACATTTGCGGCGCACGTTTCCCTTCCGCCGAAATCCGGGACAAACACCGTCTCTGGCACACTGTGCGGGACGAGCTTTTAGCGGGAACTTTAGCTGGAGTTTCCGGTGGAGACATATTTCACGCGCACAGAGACAGCGAGAGCAGCAGCGGAGAGAGCGAGCCGCAGGACTCACAACATTCACAGCACCTGTTCTCCAGTAAACAGTGTCCGTCTACCTTCTTCAACTCTTCCGGGCTCACGAGACACATCAACAAGACTCACACCGCGGAGGACCGGCACGTGATGCTGCTGCAGATGAGCGTGCGCCCGTAAACCTCAAAGGAAACACGTAAACAAACTGCAGTCTGCTGTCCACCTGACTAAAAAACAAACAAAAAACATTAAATACAGGTGAGGATCACGCTCCACGCATGGTGCCTTTCACCAATAGTCAATTAATATAGTTTTAAGTTTGGCAGCGTTTATAAAAGACAAGAAACTTGTCCGTGTAGCCCAAGTTATCCCTATCGGCCCGATTTGATGGGAGCTGTCCACGGTGCTGAAGATGAAATAGTTTGCGTTTGACTCTGCAATGCGCTGTCCACGTTACTGATCTGACGTGAGACAAAATGGTTCACTAACAGCTAATTATTAAAGTACGCACTCAATTCAGGAATGTAATAACGGAGGCATTCAGTTTTTCCAGACTATGAGCATTGTTTTTTTTTAGCGGTATACAAAAACTCCAATAACTCCAAAATGCCATATATAGTGCCCACAGACTACCTTTGAGTTAGAAAGGTTTAGCGAAGAAAAGACTAGTTAGTTGAAAAGCTAGTTAGAGCATTGATTTTCATGTAATTACCATGTTCACATTTCCTTAATGCTCAAGCAGTGCAATGACTTTACGTAATTGTCAAATACAAATGCAATATTTTGGCGAAAATACATTTAAGAGGGTGTCCTTCAGAAATAATCATTGATAAAAATTTTATACAGATAAACAATATGCCTTTGCTTGTATCACATAATGTCATCTATCAAAATTAAATATGTAATAGTAACCTATTGTAATTTATTTCATTAAATTATCCTGAAACACTGACATACTGTATTTGCTTAATGTTTTTATAAAGCATAATTGTGACTCTCAGAATAAAAAAGGTTTTGTCGAATGTAAAGAGTATCAATAAACAAATTTGGAAAAGGTCTGGACATTTTTTTTAATTATTATTTATTGATGCTTTTTTGTCATATTCATACATAGGTTTGAATGTGTTTTTTTACACACTGTTGGTTTGTCAGTAAGTAACACTGTAGTGAGTGTGGCCATGCTCTTGTGTGTGGGGTCACAGGTCAAACACATGCACTTAGCGCTGCGGGCTCATGCAGTGGACAGGACAGTCAGTACATCCGCTTCATCACAAATTACAGCATGATTTATCAGCTCTCCAGAGAAACTGCTTATGGAAGTCTACATTTTCTACTTTTTAATAATAAAGTTTTGCACAAATCTACAGAGAATACAAGTAGCTTATGAAGGCATATTTGCATGTACTGTCAATTTAGGTGGACACAAATAAAAAAAAAGTTTTCAGTATTTCAATTTGAAATATTGTATGTTTAAAATGCATATTTACTAAATATTTTAAGCATTTAATGTTTATGGTTGTATGTGGCTAAGAGATGTGATAGAGATGTTGACACTGCAAAGAAACAGGACTTGTAACATCGACAGTGCTACAGCATGAGACCCCAGAACAAGAGGCAAATCAAACGGTGACAGTGATGACAAGATGATTCTGTTTGTCAATTTACATCATGTACACATTATCTCAAAATGAAAAATGAGTAACTATAGCACATGTTCGACCAAACAGAGGACCAGGAAGGGGAGACTTCCCCATCTTTTTCAGTAACTGTATCAGTGACAATTTACAGGGACACAAGACATAAAAAAATAGTGATAAAACAAAAAGTGACTTCTAATATTATGATTAGAGTGAAGTGAAGTTAAAAAAAAAGTTTAAGTCCCTTTGTTCTATGGTTAAAAGTACATTTATGTAACAATACGTAACACATAACACAAATGGGCGGCAAAGAAAAGCAGCAGTGCTGACAAGCAGTCATTAAAATGTATGAAAGACACACTTAATACCACAGCCTTTGCATTCAAAACATAAATGATAAAGATGGAGTGAACTAAACTATAATTTATATTTAGTGTGTTCATTTAACTTCTTTTGCTGACCACTGTAACATAAGTGTAACAATACTGTAATATGTCTGATCAAAGTGGTATCAATAATACAAAAACGGATTAGGGAATATTTTGTAACTTAAAAATGCTACAAGAATAGATCAAAACATTTCTGAACATTGTTGACCGCTGAATGATATCCACTATAACTAAAAGGCGAGATCTATATGGTACAGGTATCATGATGGGTTATTACCATTATTAACATATCATGAACAAAATACAGTTATTACTAAACTATTGGAGTTTAAACTCATAGTGTCAGTCCATGTTTAGCAGATGTGGTCTGAGGCTAAGACCACAGTTTGGTTTTGGCAGCAATGCTCATAAAACAGTATATACACAAGTAGCTTTCTCTCACTGTACACCTACTTATAGATCCATATCTATTATACAGTATATAGATTTATAGTCAAACATATATAGATATACAGATAATACATGTATTATCATAACGGCTAAGAACAAGGAAACATAACTGTGGTTCTCTTGCATCAAATAAAACAAAAAACAGCAACTCTGTCGGTCAACACTTACAGTCAAGTAAAAAGTATAAAGAAAAAAAAATGCAGTGATATCAGTGCTTTTTACGTTTAAATAATCAGCAAAATAACGTGTAACAAGTGCTTGCTTTTTGATCTGTTCGCAACAGTCTTTTAAAACAACACTTTCTGAATGAGAAATATTTTTGGCATTTCTGAAGCCATAACTTCAGTCTACACATTTCTTCTCGAACAGCTGAAGTATTTATATTTGAGCGTCGTCAAAACAACCCACGACCCCATTTACAGATCTGACCATAAAAATAGACATTTGTCACTATATTCGTGGTGCTTTTGGAACAATCTAATTTCTTTTCTATCAAAACTCAGCTTTTGTTTGTACATCCATGTCCACCTATGGTACAAATATACAGCATCTACGCAGCACCTGTTTTTTCTCTTGCAATGTGCTCTCATACATGATAGGGACATGAAGTAATACTCAAGGCCCACTTGTCCAGCTATTTTTTTTTTTTTTCAAAAGCATGGCTGAGAATAGACAGCAAAAATAACAGCTTCAGCCACAATTCAATAAATGTTTTTCAGTACATTGTGGTATATGATGGTATAGGAAATGTATAACACAAGCTCTATTTTTCTTGATTATGTTGCAAATATGCTGGATATATTTTGTGCTGAAGTGAAAGTCTATAAGCTTAGGTCTTATTGGCAGACCCAGACGAACGGCGCAGCTTCATGGACATGCGACTCTTGCTAGTCCTGGGAGACATGGGGGACGCCGAGTCGCTCCCGGCCTCCCCAAGAGCCGGACTTTCTCCCCGAAGAATCTCGAGGCAGGAGCCTGATGATAGGGTGAGGGGTTGAGTGAACAGAAAAGGAGATGGAGAGATGTAGACAGTAGTTATCAATACATTGCATAATTTTATGTCCTGTAAAGATTCATAACACGTGGCATATAATGGGAGCAAAGGGACAGACAGAGGATCTAAAGAGGTTACTAAATTCATATTAGACTAACGTGAAAATGATTCCTACTAACAACAGTAGATTACTATGAGTCCTGGATTAAGTGTGGAATGAAATAAAAAAGGAGATAGCAGACTAGAAAAAAAAACAAGATTAACCATCACTAGTCAGAACTAACAACTTAATTGACACAAATAATGTCTCTAAACTAGTTTCAAACCCACTAGACTATAAAACTTAGGTTAGAGAAAGTTACAGTTCCACTTAAGCCAATCAAATCCCTATATTGACACTTCTTGTTTGAAGTGAGACTTCTTGTTTATTCTCAAAACATCTCTTGAGATCACACGTCATCATTATAAGATACTCAAATACATATAACATCAGTTGTCTAATCACCTTCTAATGCAAGATATGAAGGCTGAATAAGTTACAGATCTTGTCTGTGTAGTTCATGTGGCATTATGAATTTTATACACATGAACTAAATTGATGAAATAATGTTAATTTATATACTTCTATATTTACCCTATGTTGGCAGACTAATCTAGCACTATTTACTATGAGTCAATAGGCTACAGTACACATCTGGGATCTAAGCATTACCATTCACAGCTAGCATGAAGGACCTTCTGCTTGAGGCCCTTGCCCTTCACCCTGAGCAGGTTCAAACTGTCGATTGGTTTAGGGACTATGAGATACAGAGCACTGTGCTCCTCTGCACAACAGTGGAGGTGAGAAAGCATGAAAAGAAATGAAAAACATCAAGAACTGTGCAAAAAAGAAAATGAATATGAAAAGGAGTAATAAAATGTTTAAAACAAAAAGATGTACTACAGACCCTAAATCAAATATGCACTTTACTATACATGATTTCTTAAAATGTGCTTTAAAAAATGGGTGTGTAAGATTCATACTCACCCTGCCAGAATAAAAATCTTTATGGTTGTTAACATTAGCTAATTTTATTGAAAAGTAAATATGAAAAATTGATATATAAAACATATTGATTTTCTGAAATTCTAAATAACTGCCCAATAGCCTGCCAAAAATAATGATCATTTGGTTTAAAACTAATAAAAAGCTACAAGTGGCATTACACTGAAATAAATATATTCAGGAAGACAGGAGCATACAAAAGGTAAAATATTAGTTTCACCACATCAGTGTCTCACAATGCAGGTTAATGAAACAAGTTGGTGACATTGAACACATGAAAACTTTGTTATATGAAGGAAATCTCACTCCCGCTCACATAAGTGCAATTTAGATGAGGCTTTATTATAAGTTTCTATGTGTGTGCAATATAAAAATAAAATTAGAGCTATGACAAACCAAATTGCACCAACAAGTGGAATGAAAATTTCCTTCATCAGAAATGTGACAGTAAAATTCAGAGGAAACACGGGGTCAGTAAACAAACACACATTACAAGGAGATATAAGATTTAAGAAATGGTTAGGCAGAAAATGTCAGTGGCAAGAACCAATCAGAACAGGGAGTGTCAATCATGTGACCAGGCTTACCTTCTTAGCAATAGGCAAGTGAGACATTACGATCTAAGGGATGGGGGGAAATGGGGAAAATAAACAGAAATAAAAATAATAAAAAGGGGAGTTTAAAGGTAAAATTAAAAATGGGCAAAAAGAAGATACAAAAATGGTTGTTCATTGTGCAGTTAAGGGACCTGTGAGTTAACTTGAGGGAGGGAGGGAGACAAAAAGAGCAGGGCTTCAGTCTTTTTCATGATTTGAGAGCACAGAATCAAAAGATTATGGTCATTTTATTCCAATTCATGATTTTGATTGTGGGCTCTGAAATGTTTTTGAAGGTGAACAACACAAAAACAGCCATCTGTATTTTGCATGTTACGTTATTCAGCTTCAAGGCAAGGTGATTATTTTATGGTAGTTATTGTCAATATTATTTGAGGCACATTAGCTTGAGAGATAAGCAGCAGGATGTCAATTACACGCACTCGTTTAGACAGTCACACCTCAGTGGTCGCCGCGGCAACCCTGGTTAACCTCATTATACCGAAACGTGTGCCGTTTGTTTTAGTAATTATGACACATTGAAAGCATACAAACCTCATACTCATACACTATTACATTAATTAACCAAACAAATGACGCCAAATTATTTTAGATTAGATTTTCTCATCTTTAATACTAATATTAAACAATATATTTAGATAACATGTTTCAGCTGTACCTGTATCAGAAGGAAAATGTGTGCACGGAGCTGGAGTGTAGACTCGAGCAGCGTAATCCTCAAAGGTTGTGGGTTCCTGGTGATGCTGCACAATAGTTTCAAGGTATCTGGCACGCTCTTCATAGCTGATGTCAAAGGTTAAGGTGAAAAAATGTAAAAGGAAAAAGCAAGAAAGATTATGAGAAGGAAAGAGTGGATCAGACATTGTAGTTTGATTTAGATTTTAGTTCACATGAAAAAGCTTAATGTTATAGGAGAAAAATAGCCCCATTTTGCCAAGAAAAACAACGGATTCAAAGTAACTCAATCTCATACATTGTCCATAACCAGCATCTTCAAAAAATTATACAAATAACAAAAAACAAAACTAATAAAAGCAGCTGAAAAACAAAATAATAACTAAGCAACAAAAGACAGAACAGTTTCTTCACCAGAGCATCATTATTTGCTTTTATAACCCTCATAATTTCCTATTAGAAAGATTATGTAGGTCCATACTCTTCTTATCTATATATCCAGCCATAATGACAGCTGCTGAGCGCACACACATAACTCAACCCCATTAGCTCCCAATAGTAAAGCCATTTGCTACAATAACAGTGGTTTTCAATGGCTGCATGTATCTGTATTTGATAAGCCTGGGTCCCAGAAATGGTAGTGAACGAGCTTTATGGGCGACTGTCTATGTAAGTGCATGTCTCTGTTTAAATGGGATTAGGCCAATGAATCTTCAGAATGAAATCTGTGTGTTTGTGCCTCAATGCGTGGCCCTCTGTTGTGAATGGGCCAGCCATCTGTAACAGCACCCATGGGTTTTCTATTGGGTTACACAGGCAGTCTAAGGGTCTCAGAAGGAGAGGGGTTCAGGTCTAATGGTAACTGATCCAGTTAGAGACAATGATAATAACAACAGTATGGCTCCTTTAAAACGAAGGGACAGACTGAATGACCAAAAGTCAGAGCAAACCACTGGGCTGGTGTAAGCAGGCTGCAAATATTGGTATTACAGAAAAAGTGGATAGCAGTTACTTGAATTCATTAAACATACATGTTATATTTTTTATAGTTTCAAGGCAATATAATATAAACCTTTACTTCAGTAATCTTTATAAAAAGTCTGTACATTGAGATCTGCCAATATATAAAAGTTACAGTCTCTGCAAGTTGAGAGAGCTTTGGGGAAACGAGTTCAATATCGGAGCGGATCAGAGAACTTTACAACAGAGCCATTGTCAAGAATTATAAACTTCACAAAAACAGATGCAAACTATTTCAAATTTGCTCAGCATATTTGATATGTGGTGAAAAAAATGCACATAAAAAAATTAGAGTATATATCCTAATGATAAAACCACTATTACTAACTATTATACTGCACTTGCTCAGATCTTAATTCCAGTGAAATTGATTGATTTGCTCAAAGTAAAAATAGCAGTTTTCTCCTCATTTAGCATGCTGTAAATCACAGTGGCATATGAAGGAAATGAAGAAGATTGGAGGTGCAAAGCAAGTGCGATGCAGTGGGCGGAAGGCAGGGGCTGACTTGTAAAACAGAGTGAGAATCGCAGTATGTCGGCCGGAGGATGAGGCAGGGGAAGAGCAGCAGTCTCAGCAGCCGTCACGCCGCGGCTCCATGTGACGGCTCTGCTCGCCTTTTCCTGCTCCCCGCTCCCCTGCATCGCACTTTCGCCTCTGACTTCTTCAAGTGTGCCAGGATGTGAGACAATTAGGGGAAACAATTAGCCATTTCCGAACAATGCTGTGCTGTTGTTTTAGCGTGAAGCAGCAGAGGTGGGAAGAGAAAGAGAAAAAAGAAAGTTACTTAAATATAAGAACTTTGAAAAGGCCAAAACTGAATAGATAATACACTTTTAACATCCATTAAAAGAAAAACCATGAATACAAATTGGTACAAATGACACTTAGACAATGCCCTTTCAGTAGTTAGAAAATTCAAGACATGGCAATATTAAAAAAAAAAAAAATTGGTCCAGATAACAATAATTCGATTTTTTTTGTCTGTCTGTTTTGCCATCCTTCAGAAATGTTCTAAAACATGTCTGGAAATGTTCAGTATCTACCTGTACCTGTATCTTCATCTTTTTTCAAAGTATGTATTTGTTGCTTCTACAAACTCGTTGTATGCCCAATGCCTCCAATACACAGTCCATCTCAGAACAAAAGGAGGAGGTCAAAAGAACTCCAGCAGCAGAAGGGACTAATATTGAGCAGAAAGTAAATAAATAGATATTGTAGCACAGCTGGGATAAATGACTGGAGTTTTTGTTCCTTTTTCACTGTCTATTTCCTTTGTCTCTCTGCTCTTTCTTCTTCCCAGCGTGGGCTTTCTGCATGTGGCCCCGTGTCACTGTGGCACAAACACAAACTCACACTGAGCGGCAACACAACAAGACACAAGAAGCGCTTACAACTTTGATAACTTTGGCACGATAAGAGGAATAGGACAACAACATCTACTGTATAGCATTTACCACTTGGTTTAAGGTTGTCAAATTATCTATACAACACTCTTAGATACTTAAACTTGTATTGAGACAGGATTTGATTAGAACCATCTTTATTACTAGGACTGTTCCTTTTTATATGATTTTTAGTATCAGTCTTAATCGTTATCTGAACAAGTTTCTGTTGAAAATGGCATTCTATTGTCCAAGTATTATTTTTTACTTCATCGTAGTATCATAATCAGTATTGAGTACCAAGTCTTTTCTCACTTTGTTATAAAATAAAAATTGTATCGTGATTTTTTTTAGATTTTAATATGTGGTATTAATAAACTCATTTTGCAGCCATTCTTTTACCAAGTGTTCCTTGAGTAGTTATTTTGAGGTTTCCTGTTGATGTAGACTTGCCAAAGACACCAGACAATTTAGTCTAACAATCCATTTTTGATCATATCCTTCTGCTGCAGCTTACAGAAAGACACTGTGTGGAATTAAGACCGATTTGCAACCAATCCAAGCTTGACTGATTAAGCCCTAAAATAACTTCAGTGAGTGAATATTTACACTACCAGCATTTGACTTTTCTGTACTCATATTCTTTTCTTTTCAGCAGTTCTTTTTGAAAACTTGACCTAGGAGGAACATTATTTGGCAACCATATAAGAAGCCTTTGGTAAACATCTTGTATAGTCCATCTACACAAATGAAATCATACATAAAAACTGTAAGGTAAAAAAGGCAGCTTGTATCTGTCTCATTGGCACCCCTACCTCACTCTCCCTGTGGTCCGTCCAAATGGTAGCAATGAAATGTGCCGTAATCGAATTTCAGATGGGCCCTCTTATTAAGTCATTAGCAGCAAAATATCTCGCTTTCTGGGAGAGAAAAGGGAAAGATTATAAAGGGAGAGTGACAGAAAGAGAGGAGATAGAGCCACATTGGAGTCTAAAAGGTGGACAGGGGGACGGCGGGCAAATATAAAAAGGTTCTTTTGTGTGAAGTCAGAAACTCATTTTCTTGGTGCGGTTGAAAAGAGTGGAGAGCGCGTTGGTGCTGTCCCTGGTCCATTTCAGAAGCTTTCTGTCCCTCTCTCTCCCGCGGCGCTCTTCATTGTGCTGATGTTCGACTCCTGCGATCACTTGAGACCGAGTGAGCGGCAGAGGACGCGAGAGGAGCAGAAGGGAGCTTGTTAGCGCATTAGGGGTCGAGCAGACAGGGATGTGTGGTTTTGAATATTTAACTGACGACTATGACATTATATTCTATTCATTCTAGTCATAGATACATAAGCTGCTTCTTAGAATTTGCCATTGCATAAGCAAACAAACCATTCAAAACAAAGGATATCTTGCATGGCTACTAATGTTTGCTGATATTCATTCATTAATGTTTTAATTTATTAATTTGTTCTTCTCATGTAAATGCACAGTTAAACATTTTTATGATTGTAGAGGAGCACATAAGAGAACACTATACAACAAGATACATCGTTATTTTAATCATTTGATAGGAGGGAAAATAATGTAATGTTTGTCTGACCTTTTATTTGCCACACAGATATAATCCTCTCTGTTTGGAAAGATGAGTTAACTCATCTCTGATTTGCCAGTATCCGCACTGTCTTGCCATCTGCACTTCAGTAGTAAAAATCCTGTGATTAAAAGTTAAATCTCATATTTTCTTAAAATAATCAACAAACTCCTGCAAAATTTGCTGAAGTTAAAATCAATAACAAGTACAGGCTCCGTGCTAACTGCATACAAATGGGAGTATTGACAGCCACTATAAAGCCTGTGCGAGCAAATCAATACTGGTCGAGTGAGTCCGTTCAAGCAGAAGTTATCTTTGAAGCAGCACTGCATATAATGCCAAGTATAACTCTGAAGCAGAGGCCTTGTGTCGTCAGTGATTAGACACTGCACATCACCATTCAATATGCTGATACTTTAAACACACAACCAATTAGTTACATACTAATTATACACCAATCTATCTCGAAAATGTAATTAAATGTTTAAACTTAATTTTGATTTATAAAAAGTAAAAATGAGGGGACAAATATATCCACTATATAACAGTTTTGAGATTTATAAAAATCTACAGAAAAAATATTTGTTTTATATTCACTTTTGCAATTTCACTTTTGTATTAAAGTAACTTTACTAAATAAAATTTTGAAATTAAGTTATTGTCAAAAAATATTTGCTTTCAGTATTATTTGCAGTACATTTTGGAGCTGTAAACTACTGAATGTTGTAAAAGTCACATAGCATTAAAACCACAGTAGTTGAAAAAGATACCTCTCTTTCATATTTGCTGTATCTCAGTCGGCATCTCCCCAGCGCACTGAGGTCCAGCCTATCTGTCCTCTGCACCCCAGGCATTGGAACAGACAACAGAGAAGGGGACATCAGAGGGATAATACAATTGGAAAAGGTTTACAGTGTGTAATGATAAACCTGTGTGTGTGCGTGCGTTCATGCCCAAAGGAACAAGCTAATGGGTTTATATCTTTCTGTGATAGCAATGATATGGAGGCTTTGTGATTTCATTAAGGCTGCACGTGTGTGTTCACGTATGGCAAGATGGGGACACAGATAGGTCACTCTGATGCAGTTGTTATTGTTAGGGGCAAGTGCACATGGCAGCACAATCGTGTTTAATGCTATTTATCTGCTCTTTAAACTAATCCTGAAATGAAGGGGAAAAAGTATTGAAATTCTAATCACCACTTTTTCACCAGTTCACCTTAATCTGCTGAAAACACAGCAGCAATCACACGACATCAGTTGCAACTAGGAAGCCCTGAAGCAGCCAGCACAATCCTTATTTCACATGTAGGCCATAAACCGCCGTAATAATAATACATTAGACAGATTTATTTTATTCTTATCTCAAGGCTATAAAACAATATTTGCCCACACCATCAGTACAAGGTATAGACATGTATGCTACATTAAAAATGACATTTATATAATTTCATATGAATAAAATGTCCCTTTGAGCAAGATTTCAAAGTCGTAAACCCTTCTATATGTATTTGTTTTCTTTTATTATGTCAGTTTCGATAGCCTATAATATATGTAATACAGTATTAATTATGTTATATATCATGTAATCACTTTTTGTCTGCCTCTTTAATAAAAAAAGGCTCCAAAATCAAAAACAAATAAAAAAAATGCAAATACCAGGAATAATTGGGTACTGATGTTTTCTTTTTAAATTAAACATGATCAAGAACATTTAACAGAATTATAACATATGACTTTGTAAATTAAATGAATGGTTAATTCTAAACTGTAGTTTATTTCATATAGTTATTATTTTTATAAATCAAATGTGCAGGAACCAATAGGGCTCACACTACACACTTCAACTTCAGTTACATTTTGTGGACTTGTGTGCAATGGCCCCGGCTGAATCTTAAACAGCTCATCACTTGAAAATGCTTACATTCAGATCGGCAACCCGACAAAGTGCATCCATGTTCTGGGACGCATAAGCGGCGACACACTGCAGATTAGCTTGTTTACTGGTCAGAGGGGGGTCCGCGCTCAGAAGGTGCGCTCAAGCCGCTGATGGCTCTAGCGCATGTGTCCACACGGGGAGACACAAACTGACACATACACAAGTCATTACAAGAATCATACATGCCGAAAATTAGACTAAAAACCTGATGAGCTGCAGTGAAAGTAATCGTTTTCGCTCACTCATTTTTCCTATGATTTATCTATGAGGAACAGGACTATCTAAAAGTTATGTTTTTTTATTACCTATATATATAAAATTACTAATGCAAAATAGAGTTTCTAGAAATGTTGCATCATAGTAAAATAACATTTTAAGAACATTTATGTAGAATTATGCTATTGCAGAATGTCACTTACACACCCTTCCAACAAGCTTAAGCATCCAACAAGGCAGCTATAACCATACAGACACAAGACACAATTCCCAAAGGAGACCACGAAGAGATTAGCAGTGACCCTCCTCCTCACTCCTGCCTTTTCATTTCCTACATTTACCCAATGGGAAACAATTAAACTTAAGCACCTCCTTCTGCCTGCATTCACACAGTCATTCTCTTAACCACAATCTTATTATGTTTTTACGCTACAGATATCTAATGTCCAAATGTCATGTCAATTTAACAATTACATTTCTTCTTATATATAATGCGTAAAGGCTACTAATGAATTTATTTCTGAAAACCAGCTTTATCTCATATCGCTGCAGTTGGCAGAGCCCACTCTTGCACGGCAGCAAAGTCAGAAGAGGTGCTCCTTCCACAGAGAATAGGTGGCGTAGAGGATAAAGGATACCATGACCCCATTTTAGCATCACCAATAACAAAATGTCTTCAATTTGTAAGGTTGCGCCCTCACCTTTTTACTGTGGTGAGGGACACACACTCCTTGTCACACACGGCAGATTGTAGCCTGACTGGGACAATGGAGCCTATTGTGGGGCCTGGCACAGAAAGGCCAGGCAGGCCGGTAGGCGTTTGGCTGCTCCCTCTCTCTGTGTCTATGTGTGTGTGGATATGGGGGATAATAGCACTACATGCCCAGAGCTGCCATCATTTCAGTGGGAACAGAGTGTGAAAGAGAGACACACACAAGACCATAAAATGCACAAACGCACAACCGCAGCACTGCTATCACACCAAGCCATATGCTGACCCCAGCCTCAGCACAGCTATCTCTGCCAATCAACAACTAGAGGGGATGTCCCGCGCACACAACGGAGCAACCAAACACCACAAAACACTCTAATCCGAAGAGTCAAACATATAGGTATAACACAGGCTCCATGAAATACATACATGTAAACCAATGGATGACATGTAGTGGACGCTAATGCCCGTCAACACTGGCTGGCAGAGTGGAGTGATTTGTGCATGTGTGTGTGTGTGTGTAGGAGCTTAGCATCTTTCCAACATTGTTCCCCAGAAGCACAATCACCCGAGAGCAGATGGAGGCTGGCCACACACACAGACCCGCGCATATCCTCTCGCACAAATATTCACTCTGTATACAGTCGTATGTCCGTCAGATGGCCAGACAGCTGCGGCACAGACACACAGGTGAACCTTTGCCCATACTGGTGACAGATCGCAGTGACGGACTGAAGGACGTCTGGATGCAAGATTTCACAATGCACTTTTCCAGGCACTTTTCTGTGCTAAACTTTAAATGCACTTACTTTGAATAGAGTACATTGCACACAGTGTTAAGATTTTCATGTAGCAAAACTATTTAATAAAAAAGAGCACAAAATCATTAAATGTACTGTAATGCAAATTGCATAGTTTGTGGAATTTATTATTTCAAGTGATAATCTAACCTTTGTCTACTTAAAAGTTATTTTCCATTACGTTTGGCCTGAAAGATACTTGATATTGATGATTACACATATTGCTGTATATCAAGTCACTGTTGAGGGTCTTGGACTGCTGCTGCACAGAGTTGATATGCAAGATAGATCTGTGCTTATAAACAACTGCCCCAGCAGCCTGGCACCCTCTGTGTGTGGTGTGTATGCCTCCATGTGTGCTTGAGAGATTTTGGATGGTTCTAGTCATGGTGAATGAAAGATCAGAGAAAGAGAAAAGGCAGATGGACTGCCCTGAGGGCCAAGGAGACAAAAATGAGGGAACAGAGGAAGACAAAAATGCCAGTTAACCAATGACACACTTAGGCCTGCCAACCTATCCCCCACGAACCCCTGTGTCCAACCATCAATGCACGTAGTCATGCCGTTTTAGTTCGGAGAAGTCTGCAAAGGGGCACGTAACCTTTAACTTGTGAAGCTCAAGAATCTATATTCCTATTCCAGTAACTCCAGTAATTCCAGTAAGAGCGAAAGCCTAGTTAATATATGTTGACCCACTGCATATGAAATGATAAGATGAGGTAAAAAACTATAATAAGTACTAAAATGCATGTGCAACTCAAAATAGTAAATAAGATAGCCCATGCCTCAGACAGTAATAATTTGTACACTTAAATTTGTGGATACATCAAAAAAAGTTGTTTCTCTTAGCAAAAAGGACATGAATGAAGCCAATGGAAGCAAAAACTGAATGAAAAACAAAGTTATCTGTGAAGACATAGAGCAGACATCTGATAAGAGAAAAACAGAGAGGCACTGAGATAAGGATGGGGCTGTTAAAGAGACAGAAGAGTCTAAACAGGGACAAAATGGGACAGAAAGATGAAGATGATAACGTAAAGTGTATGTGCATGAGCCACAGAGAAAAACATAGCACAATGAGACAGAGGCGTCTCACACACAGAGCCAGAGCGAAGAGAGAGAGGAAAAAGTGACAGTAATAGGGCACAGGAAAGGGAGCGTTGGAGTGACTGAAGACTGGAGTACAGAGGTGTGTAGCTTCAAGATGGAGAGTCAATAATGACTGATTACTGTAATTCAGCCTGTCAGGGACATCGACCTGCTGCTACTACCAATCAATACACACCAGGACACAGACAGCCACACACAAACACCTTTCAGAGACTGACCACTGCATGTGTGCGGCCCAGCACGAGGACACGACACAACAGAGACACACAAGTCCACAAGCTCAGAGCAGACGGAGGGGGGTAGGGCTAAAGTGGGACAAGTATATGTTCAAGAATCTCCACACACCAGGAACTTACAGGTATAAGCTACAAGAAACAGCTGCACTCAACTCTGCAAATGACATCACTGACAACAAGAGCAAACCTTCAGACTGTGAAATAATGTAGATAATAATTGTGAATAACAAAATAATTAAAGAGACTACCCAATTTATCTGTTTTTTTCTCTATTGCAAATACATGGTTAAAGCAGCTCTTAGATGTAGACAGCAGCATAAATTTCACTGTAATTATAAAGCATTTTTATTGTCTGCAAACACAGGGAGTAATGCTGGTATATTGTTAGAATGCTACTTGTTGAGGACAAAACTCTTTTGAAAGTTGTGAAATGTGCTTATAAACTCATTGCTGTGCATAATTAGTGAATACCTCCATCAACATGACAACAGGGCCTTTCTGTACATACTATCACAAATTTCATTGCCATTTCCATTTGTTTTTTTAATAAAGGATTATTACCGAAAAGCAACAACTTCAAACAAAAATATATTTGTTAAAAAGAGATAAACGACTTACCAATAAGATCTTATTAATGTTTTAAACAAGCTTAAAAAGGATACAAATTTTGATAGAGAGGAATGAGGGATTTCAAGGCTCGACTGGCATTGATGGCTGTGGCTCTGACCATTGTGGGTAAAATCTTCATGTCCACTATAGCACCATCGAACAGTGGTCCAAAGAAAGGTACCTTGAAATGAAAAAAGAAGGGAAATAACGTAAGGCTGAACACTGAGCAATGAGCAAATGAATAGTAAATTATTGGATTGAGGCTTTGGTTTACTGGTTTATCCAATTGTTTGCTAGTGGAATCCACAATAACCATTAATGTCAGGACTTTTATTTAATTTATTTGTGAACCAGATCTCTAAGCCATGCACTCTGTACTGTGCTTTCAGGACCATAAGCCAGAGAATATCTCATTTTACTTGTTTTTAGATTTATGATAATTCAATATTTTGTCCTGTAGAATGAATGAAACAGAATACAGTTATATCATTAGTGCTATGGTATCTATGTCACAGAGAAAAAACAGAATTTTATTGTGTTAAGTCTTTCAAAATAGAGTTATGCTATTGTTGTTGTGGTATTAATGTCTATGGGTTTAGACAGAAATTAACCAGAGCCCAAGACTTGAGGGCAATGTCTATGAAGGTTTTTCATTGAAGGAAAAAGTTCTTTATGTCCAACATACATACACAAATCTATGACCTTTAGACAGGCATTTAAATGTATAAGATATTTTCTTATTATTATACCTCTGGCTTCTTGAGTATGTGGATGGAGTACATGTGGTTCTTCATTGGGTAAATGATGATTAGCACATCTCCAAACTCTGTGGGGATGATTCCTCGTCTGTAATCTCTGGAATGTTCTGACCACACAATATGGACCTCATCATTGCCCAAGTGTCTGAGCTGAAAGAAAAAGCACATGAAATCAACACAAGGTACTAGAATAAACATTTAGGTGTGTCTTATAAATACAAAACTGTAAATCAATGCCAGAACACAGGCTCGATGGTCAATATCCATCATAAAGCCAAGGCTTTGTAATATGTGTATGTGCTGCACGTGGCCCTGAGGTGATGGAGTGAGCAAGTGAGGGACAGAGAGGAGACAAGACAGAGTGAATGTGCCCAAAAGATCGAGCTCAGACTGAAGACGGATGGGATTAAGTCCAATGTTCTGTGTACAGCATTCACTCAGGGAGGCAACAGCAAGCACACCTGACTGCTTTGTCATTAACCTTCATGTCGACAAAAATGCCTTCTGAAACACTCCATAAAACATGAGAACAATTCTAATACCAATTTACCTACATGAGAGGGCCTAAAAACCAGTACAGACACTGTGACAGAACAAAACAGCAATGCAGCTAAAGTGCTGCTTCACAGGGGTGAATACATTTATGCTTGAATATTGTGTAGCACTTTAACCTCTGGTAAAGAATAGTATGTCTTAGAGCCTGTGGCATTAGTCTTTGCATTAATGTATCTGGGGACACAGACATGAGCGTGTGTCTGGTGGGGTTAACCACTTCAGTGTGTACAAGAGCATATGTGTTTGATGGGGCCATCAGCTGATCAGGGAGACGAATGGTGTCAGACCAGGCACTGATAATCCAATCAGCTGCCTGAAGCGACATGATAGGCCGAGAAGCAGGAAGTATGATGTGATTAAAAGGACATTACGGCCATGTGCACAGAGCCAAGAGCCTGGGGGATGACAGGTGTACAGATCGGCACACGCAGCACACCCCTCCACGTTAACTGTGTTATAGAGAATTAATGCAACATTTATACGTACAAATCAACATAAAAATCAACAGATGTGTGTAAACCCATGTATTCATAACCATAAGTGTAATTTTATCATGGCTAAGGCTCTTTCCCCATGAGACTTTCTTGATTTGATTCAGGCAAATTTCCACAATACACACAATGAATATTAAAAACACTTATTTGCCAGTATTACTAATAAGGACTGTTGCAGGACAATAAAAAATGAATGCAACAATTGTCCCCCAATTAGTTTTAGTGTCATAAAGTCAGGAGCTGCACTGTGATTCAGCGAGTAGCAGTTGTAGTGAGTTACCTTCTTGGTGAGGTTGTGGTCCTGGTCATGAGGCATGCGTGTGGAGACGTGGTAGATCACCTCTGTGGTGGATGTGGCATAATATGGTGTGGTCTGGCCTGTGCTGCGGTTACGTTGCAGACCTCCCATGAAGCCACAGTGAGTTGTAAGATCCACCTGAGAGAACAGTTAAAAGGTATGCAATAAAACCACAGTAACACTAGTAAAAATAATATTGGAATGCTTTTAGGTATAACTTTACTATATGTTCTTTAAAGTTGCTCTTACCTCCCAGCCCAGGCCTGAAACAAAGTCCTCATAAGCTTGGCTGCCCGCTGTGTTGGTGAGAATGGAGTGTTTGTCCTCTTGACCTTCAGCTACATAAAACACTGCAATTTTGTGTGTCTCACGGCTATAAGAGAAAAAACCCAATTAAAGAGCAATTCAAAAGTAAAAAAGTTAAAAGCCTTATGTCCTCATTTAGTATATATATATATATATATATATATATATATATATACATATATATATAAAGCAGGCGTGGCCCTAAATGTTTAACTATAAATTACACGCCAACTGAACATCTAATTTTACCAGAAGAATAACTGACAGTGTTAAAAGTGAATCATTTTGGTCCGTTCTTACCATTGCCGTGAATCCAAGTTCTTCAACTCCCTCAGTAATTTCTCATTTTTCCTCAACAAATGAAAGCTACTCCTACAACACAAATAAAAAAAATAAGTAGTATAGTCATCCATACACATTATTTTAACCTTTTATCCACATTGTTGCCAAGTTTTTTTTTTCCTAAATCAACCATGGATAGTATGTGCTAGGTAATATTACATGTTGCAGGACTAGCACTACAAAAGGATTCAAACATCTGGGAATACAGAAGTCAGTGTAAATAATAATCTTCAAAGACTAACCCTCAACTCCCACTTATTTTCAACAATAGTGGATTCTGATTTTTAATTCATTACCGTTTACGGGATTTTACATTTACAAAGTGGAAAGAGTATGACTAGTCCAGAAAAGCATCCAGGAACCAGTCACCAACCTCAACACCCCCAAAAATAAAACCAAGACTCGATCAGTAAAGCTTGGAGTGGCCTGATAATGACACATCATTCTCGTTGCTCTTTGAGTGAGGAGAAAAAGAGAGAAAGAGCGGGAGATAAAGACGGGGAGAGAGAGAGCAATTTGCTCTTTATTAAACTGATACTTGGTAATGGCCTCATTCTCTGCTTTCAAAGACTCCATTTACACCCTGGATTATAGGGAAAAGCATAAAAGGGGACACACATGTGCAGACACACGGCGCGCAGGGGTGAATGTCAGCATCTCCTGTGGGTAATGCCCCACATGAATACCTTGAGAGACAGATGGGGGCAATAACACATAATTAGTTAATCTGTTCTCCTGTTTATTCACCTAAATACTTCATTTTCACCCCTCCTGCTTTTTCATATTCTCTTGATTATTTTGCTCCATTTCAATTTTTGTTTTTCTCCGCCATGATGAATACACGAGCACCATTCATCCTAATTCACCACTTCTCCCTCCATCATTCTTTTCTTTGACTACAGCCTTTTTATCCAAACTCTAAATGGGCTTAGTTTGATCAATAGCCTACTGTATTCATTATGACAGTCACAGTCTCTTGGACATACACACACCGGCATAAATGCATAGTGTTAAGAAATCTATTGTGCACGCTCAATGCAGGCAGTGTAATTCTAAGTATGAAGAGCCATGAGTGTCCATTAGCCAGCGAGGCACATTTATCATGATACCTTCACATTGTGTGTCTTAACCCAGAGTCATTGAGGGGATGAAATGTAACAACATGTGAAAAGAAACATGAGGTCCAATTAGCACAAAACTTTATCTTCATCTCATTTGCATGTAAGGACTGCTCGACAAAAACAACTCCCACACACCACACTCACCACAACCTGAGAGAAAAACTAGGAACATTTCGTGAAGTCTAATACATACTGTAAAATCTTCTAAAAGCAAGTCTATTCATTCACTGTAGGGCTGGGAAATACTACAGCCACGTGCACACACAAATATTTTCATCCCTCATATTGATCAATCACAGTTTGCAATATGAGTTTTGTCTTATTCAGAAACAAATAAAAGACTTTCAATATTATTTATGAACATAAACAACTTTACTAAACTCTCCAAACCGTATGCTTTTACTAGCAGGATTGGATGCTTATCATTGACAATTAGAGATAACTGGATCTTGATCTCTTTTTTTTAAAAATAATGATAATAATAATAATAATAATAATAATAATAATAATTATTATTATTATTATTATTATTATTATTATATATTATTATTATTATTATTATTATTACTATTATTATTATTATTACTATTATTATTATTACTATTATTACTATTATTATTATTACTATTATTATTATTATTATTACTATTATTATTATTATTATTATTATTATTCACTCCCTACATTCAATGATGGTAAAATGGAGATGACTAAAACATGGCTGTCTCACCTCTTTTCCCAGGAGTTTAGACCCAATATGTTGATCAGTAATCTGCAGTAGTAAAAGGCTGACTGGGGTGTCTCTGTGTCTGGCTCAGGATGTGGCATGGCCCTCATGTTCAATTCTTCACCTCTCTGAAATATTTCACAATTTAAAAAAAAAATAAGTTAAAATACTTTACAAGATATAATTAAGTGGATCAACAGACAAAAGCTAATCTGAACATTACATACTTGAAGAACAAAGTCTTTCTCGGCTGCACTCTGCTTCAAAATGGCATTAATCACATCATTCTCCTGCTTCTCCGAAACACAGGCTGGAGGTGGTGCAGGAATGTTAAGTGGCATGCCTGGCAAGAAAATGGGATGGATACATGTAAAGCAAGTCAAAATCTTTGTGACAATTTTCGTTCCTATATGTCAACAAATATAACTCAGTAAACATGTGTACCAGCTCTTTGCAGACACTCGGGACTGGAGTATCCCATGTATTGCAGCATTTCATCCAGGGCATCTTCTCCTTCTCTCAGTGAATCCCACGCTGGCACAACCTCCCGACACACACGTTTAGCTGATGGTGGGGCTAATGTCTGTTCCAGTCCCGGTTCACTTTTGTCATCTTCATCATTCACTTCCTGTTCCTTCTTGTTTTCCTCATCTTGGTCATCCTCTGCATCAACCTCTTCTTGATCTCCTTTCTCCATTTCAACAACTTTCCTCTCTTCCTCTTCTTCTTGTGACTCCTCCCTCTCGTCCTCTTGGTCTTCTTCCTCTTCCTTGTTTACTTCCATTCTTTTGGGTAGACTTCCTGGTGGGGTGCGTAAATGGAGGTTTGTAGTGTGAGTTGCCTGTATATGAGACAGGAGTATATGTGCTGGGCTGCTTGGGCTAGTAGGGGGTGGCCCATAGAGGACAGCAGAATCCCAGGAGTGTTTTCCAGCTACATCTCGGACAATGACACGGACACACGCTGGAGCTGAAGACAAACCAGCGGTCATGCCACCTCCCGGCACACCCGACTCTGACCGGATCTAGGAATAAAAAATAAATAAATTAAAAATCACTATATATATTTGCATAAAATTGGGAAATGTTGTATATCACCTGCATACCTGAAGTACAGAGAGTAGTGTGGTGCCATTCAGAACCAAAAATTGTAGATTAGGTGAGTGGAAAAGTTCTGGTCCAAGATCTGCACTCTCAGAATATGGGTTGTCATGGTTTTCGCACACCTATTAGACAAAATCAGAATTCAACAAAAAAAAAAAATACAGATTGTTTTTTTCCCAAATTGTTCATGCCTGCTGAAATTACTTTTTGGTCAGATTTAAATGCACAAGGGCAGTACCTGGCTGGACAGAGTGGCTGGCCCTCCGGACATGGGATAGTGTCCTAGGTGGTTGACAAGGTGATTGATGACTGTTCTGGCTGCGATGGATACCAAACCCTGTTGGATACGACTCCGAACTGTGGACACATAAATATGACATAAAGTTATTAAAAAGTATTTACAAAAGTAGATGAAATGCAGGAAAACATTTAGAATTTATCCAGAAAAAGTCACACAACCAGTGTGTACATAGTTTATCCCATGCTGTGAAGAAGCCAATGCCATCACATACTGTGCTGCCAGAAGATCCTGGCTAATAAACATTATTATGTACACAGCAGGAGACAGCTCCTTATTGACGACTGTGTGTAGAGTACAGATATGTATTGACTTGACATTCTCAACAACCTCCGCAATCCCAGAAAAAGCAAAGAAAATACACTTGAAATAAAATAAAAACATAGCTTAAAAACAGCAATTGAAATATCAAGAATCAAACACAAAAGTTGAGTTGATTTAATAATATATGTACACAGAAATAGAGATACAAAGTGCAAAGAATACAATCTGAAGACAGGAGTAGCAGGGGCATGGTCTATCCAGGTGCTCCAGTCATTAGACTAGTCACTGTGTCCTGGTGGCACCCAGCAGGGGACAATACACAGTCTCACACGGACTCACAGCGCAGCCACATACATACACACTCAAGCGCCTCCCCTAATATGCACTGAGAGGCAATGGTCTTTAAGGCGGTGGGTCACACAGTTCCACATGGCTTAGTGACATCAGGGACAATTATTAGATCATAAAAAATGTATTTACAACTAATCTGATACCGGTTAAGATTTTTATTATGTGTTTTATTTAGATCATTCAGTTATATTGCTGTTAGAAAGTGAGTAACGGCAGTATCTGGTTTGTTTAAAATGTATTTCATTTTTAAATTGTAACATTTTATGGAGCATAGGATCTGTTTTACAGTCATCTTGTTTTGTATGTAAGGTGTATTGTAACCCCATGTGGTCTGAGCTTTGGGGTGGAGATTGAAGATGGTGGATGACATTTGGATCAATACAATCAACCCACCTTGCTTCATGTGGCCATTTTAAACTATAACTTACCTTCTGTGACAGGCTGCAGTTTGGCGGAGCGCTCAGACTCTGGACTGTGGAGAGGTTCTGGTTCTCGCAAACACTCTAAAGGTAAGAATGGGTCGTAGTCTGCAGTAAACAGGTCTGACAGCTGCAGGGGGAAGTATTTGGGACTACTGAACGACTGTGCTCCATATACACAGCCATGTAACACCTGTAGAAAATAGTTATGTTATGATTTGTAACATCTTGGTTTTGTTTATTGTATGATATTAAAGCGGATACAAGCATACTTTGTAAATACAGCTCAGAAGGGTTTTAGTGGGTTGGTCTTTCTCTGGGGGGCTCCTTGAGTGAACAGGCTGAAGAAGCGTTTCAGGAGGTAGAGCCATGACCCAGTCCAGAAGGCACAAGAGCAGAGATACTACCAACTAAAAAAAGACAACACACATGTATGCATAATTAATAATATTGCAAAGGATCAGAAACTTGGACTAAACTACAAAAATACAAAATATAGACAGTAATGAAATAACAGATTACCCTTTTGTCAAGTTCATGTGGGGAAGACTCAGTAGCTGGTAGCAAGTAAGTGATTGTGGCGATCAAAATCTGTAAGATATAAAAATAATTAACCAGAGAAAAGTAAGGATTTGACCAACAAAAACACATGTATATCAAAATATGTGCTTTAATGTACTGTATGTATTACCTCAACAATCTTCTTTGGCATGTCAGGGGGAAATTTCTGAAGATGATCTACATAGCTGATCAGAAGATGAAGAATATCCGATGCCACTAATGCTACATTTTTGTTGGAATACTGAAAGAAACAAAACCATATAAAGACAGAAATTAAATTATAAATTAAATAAAATCGTTTTTTTTCCAAGTAAAAGTTTAAAAAAAAAAGATATTCTTCTAGGAAAAAAGACGTCAAAAGTGTGTCAAAAGATGAGACTGGATGCTAGAAACGTAAATATATTGTCATTATTAATATTCAATTTCAATTCACTATGCTATTCTTGTCTATTAGTTGTTAATCACATTGATAGTAAAACTAGTTTTCAAAGCAGCTATTACAATTTCAACAATAAACTACAAAATATGGAAAACTTGAATAGCAGTACAAAGGGAACAGAAATAAGTGGCTTTGAATGAAACTATGATAATCCCTCAAGCTGTATGTATGAGTGCCTGTATGTGTGCAGTCCATGGCTGAGGCTACTGGCTGCTGTGACGGCAAGAGATTCAAAAGTGTGTGCATGATACACAGCTTGTGGCACTCCCTCTGGATTAGTCTCCTATCTGAAGGAGGACCAAACATATTGATGGTCCAGGGTTTGCTCCCAGGAGTAAGTGAATGCAAGCACAGTTGTGTGTGGTACAGAGTGTAACGGGGCCATTGGCTGCCGATACACATGCTGGGGATTCCAAGGTGGAGAAGGTATGTGTGTGTCCATCTTGAGCCATTTGGCCACAGATGAGACAGCAAATGTTGGACTGTATTGTTTTGAAATGGACAAGACCAACTGAGGCCATTTCCCCATTTCTAAACATCAGCAATAATATCCAACAATGTTTCCCAGAACCGGAAGCTTAAATATTCAACCCACAGATCCATGTGCCATATTGAAGAATTAGAAAGCAAGCAGCAAGTCTGTTTAATCAACAGCATAAAGATAGACTATTAAAAATAAATTGACTGAGCAGAGCATTTACCAAAGTACTACACAGTGCACTATGAAAAGGTACATTTAATTACAGAATAACACCAACTTTTACATTACGGCAACTAACATCGTATGATTTGATTGTATACTGTAATTAATAACAAAAATGTGCTATCAGTTTCACCCGCACGAAGATTAGGAAGTAACAGATGTTGTGTATGTCTGTGTGATCAGCCAGTTCTGACAGCTTTGAACTGGAACCATGGCTTTGGTGTGATTTTGCTGGATCAGAGTTAAAACACAACCACAACAGTCAAATTAGTTTGAAAAACATCCTGCTGAGTTATATGAACTATTATATTGGACATTTATTTATTTATTTATTTGTTTTGCATTGCCCTCTTTTTATTTATTTATTTTTTTTATCTGGGATCGCCACAACAAATCAGTTGATTTAGAAGCTGTAACAATTTTAATGAATCTTACCAACAACTGCATGCATCTCAAGCAAGAAATTAATTTTCTTTGGGATAAATAAAGTATCTATATATCTATCTATCCAAGATTTGATCCTGGGACATTTTTCTACATTGTTCTTAATATTAAAAGAAAATATTTAGATAATATAAGCAATGCCTGACCTTTAAAGTAACACAGATGACATTGAGAGCTTCCTTAATCTGAGGATGCTGAGTGCCATGAGCCAACTCTTCACACAGCCAGATGCCCAGACTACACAAAGCCACACACCTACACAATGATCAAACAAATAAAGTAAGCGCAGATTAATATAACTATATACTATATAATATAAATGGATTTTAAATAAAGGTATAATGGTGATTTTGTTTGTATTCACAAAGTAGATCTTACCTAGCTGGAGCAGAGGGCTCATCTCTTGCAGATGTTAGAATTGTTTTGATGATGTGTTCCTAAATACATAAAAGATAAAGCGTGAAGATTAAAAACTAGATGTAAAAAAAAGTCATATTCAGATCATTATTAGTGTAAAAAAGGTATGAGATGAAGATAATAAGCCAGCAAACACATTCAAGCATGGTGTTGCTTAGTTGGTGCTAATGACCACATACGGATTCTTACCAAGTTTCTACCTTACAAAAAACAGTGGCAGGCCTGAGATACAGCCGTGCATGTCAATATACTGTTTACAGAGCAAAAACAACAACAGCAGTATAACTCCCATAGCTCTGGATGGTTACATGAATTGATGATGAGACATTAACCTATTAGTCCGCTTTAGAGAGACTGGGACTGCTCTGAGTGTCCATCAAAATGACTGCAATATTTTCTGTTGACTTATTAATTGCAGGCGTTTTACCTTGACATCTGGAAACTTGGTGATCACTACATCAGCTGTGGTTGGATGCAGGGCGGGAAGTTCTCCATAGAAGTTTGGAAAACAAACAAGAGATCCAAGGAGGATCTGAGCCTCCACTCTAGGAGCCTGAATTGTAAACATGCATTGGACATTCTGATACTGTTTAAACAAGTGTTAAATATTTTAATGAATGCATTAAAATTTTAATTAAAATGTAAAATGTAAATACATTTAATGATGAGCAGGCAGTAACTCTAGACGCTGCAATAATGAAGTCAATGATCAACATGGTGGCTCCAGGAAGTCCAATACTGAAGAACCTTGGGCTACAATGCTTTATAATGGTGTTCACAATGTCCTGCATTGGAAGAGATTGAAATATGTCAAACTGTATGCACTGTAGAAGTAAACATAATTTATGGTAAATGGTAAATGGTCACTTTTTCTATAGCGCTTTTCCACCTTCAAGGCACTCAAAGCGCTTTACAACAAGGAACCACTCACCCATTCCACACACGCAGACACTGTGGGCAAAGTGGGTTAAGTGGATCTGACCACTCAACCTGTGATGTTTATGTCGAGAGCTGGATTCGAACCACCAACCTTCAGATCAGTGGGCGAATGCTCTACCAACTGAGCTACTGCCACCCAGTAAATGATATCAGTAAATGATAAATGACAAATATCCAGTGTTGAATATAAATAAACATTAGATAAAATACAGTATATACTTTTTTATATTGTATAGAGTATTCAGTAATTGTAGTATACTTTTATAAAAAATACCTGGTCTTGATGTTGCAATCCATGATGCATAATGTTGTAAAAATGTGTGACAAAGTCTGTATTTGGAGAAACGTCCTGCCGCCTTTTCATGATTCTGCAGATGAGTTTGTAGGCATGAAGCTTTCCTTGTTTGTAGCGCTCTGTTAGCATGGTGGCCTGCAAGATCAAAGAGGTTTATTGGTACAGATATTTGTTAGTCATCTGTATGTTTATATGTTTAACATTCTTTCTACCTTGAAAAGCCAAGGTGTGAGAATCCTCAGAGGTGGAATTAACACAGGTGGTGGAGGAGATGACTGGTTGTCCAGAGAAATTCCTAAATTATCTCTTATCTAAAAAAGTAGTAAAGTTTTATAAGACATTGCAAATTGCAAGAAATTGTACCATTTTAAACATCTATTTGTCTGTACATACCTTGGCAAGACTTTGCCAAAGTTCACACAAATAATCAAAGACCTGAGCATGGATCTCTGGGTCTTTGATACTATTGACATCCCCGAGGATACCCAGCATTCGCCTCCACATTACCGTGGCAACATCAGCATGCCACCCAGTTAAAGAGCCACCCGCCATTACACTGCAGTCTTCGCTCGGAAACTCACTGGTTTCTATTCAGAAAAACCAAACCAAACAAAACAAAAAAACATAAAATTGTTTCTGAATTACAATGTTGGGAGTGTTGAATCATTTTACTGGGTCTACAAAGGGGTCTAAAAATAATATACACTAAAATATTAAACTAAGGGCGGAACTAATGGACTAATTATGACTGTAATAGAATATTGTTAACTCTTAGTGGTTTTGGATAATAATCCTCTCTATAAAGGAATGCTCATCAAGTTGAAAATGTAATGATTAATAATGAAAATAATATTTAAATTAATATTTTTAATATATAATATAATATTTATTTATAATGTATATTTTAGCATTATTACCAAGGTCATCTGGTGTTTGAAGGACAGAATTGTGGAGTTTTTGGTCAAGCTGCAGGTGGGTATGTGAGTGGGAGCGTGAGTGATCAGCATGCTCTGTGGTCATGGTGGCAGGAGAAGGCGTCTGGGAACGAGACCCTCCAAGAGAATGCATGGGAGATGCACTCTCTGAACCTAAACACAAACATGTTTGTATAACTGTATCAGGTCAATGTGCTTACGCATGTAAAGAATTTGAGCAGTAACCTACCAGTAACAGTGACTGTGTGACTTAGACTACTTGTCTCAGAGTCAATGTGGAGCGTCGTCAGGCTGGCAACTTCATGTTCTTCACTGGCCACGCCCCCTCCTAAACTGTCCTGGTCCAGTGAGCTTCCTCTACCTCCTCCTCCAGACCCCGCTGCACCTCCTCCACAGGATTCTGAGCTAAAAGTAAAATCTAAAAAAAAGAATGTGCTTATCAGTACTAACAAATTCATTTTCATTATTCATTCATCAGATGACCCAGATGTGAATATTTCTTACTATCAAACTTGCACGTTGAATACTGAAAAGCGTTGAAAGAATCTGACTGGCTGTCTGAGCTAATGACATCTGAACCGCTGGCACTGGCAGGTGAGGTCCACTCAGAAGGAACTCCTGGGTCATCTATGGGCCTGGGATCATCTGAGGGTCTAGATCCTGGACTTTGAGTGGCTTCAAGGAGCTCGGGCAAATCCCTGGGGACCTCCAGACTGCCTGGGCTGCTGCCACGTCGACCCTGAGGGTTGAAGAGGAAAACCATAGTCTGATAAACACTAAAACTAGTTCAATGCATGGACACAATTTGTGTATTTCAAGTGGTACACTGACCGAACTTCCTTTGGTTCGCAGTCTTTCCTGGATAAATTCATCCATGAGGTCTGAAAAGTTGGGATTGCTGCTTCCGACATCAGTGGAGACAGGACGGGCCTTGGGGACCACCTCCTCTTTGTTTGCTATCCAGACAAAAAACACATTTTAAAAATAAAATTAAAAACAGAAAAAGCAATGACATGGACTGAGGGAAAAGTACAAACACACACATACACACAAATAATGGAAATGTAGACACAAAATTATTCAGTGGAAAACACCAATGACAACCACACAAAAAGCAAAAATACAATATGAACATTTAGTTATTTGCAAATTTGTTTGAGTCTGATTTGATCATTTAAAGTTCACCAAAATAACAGTCTTATTCAGGGATTAGTCATTTGTTATTAGAAATAAAAACCAAATTCAAAATTATGCTGTCTTGTCATGTAATACAAATTGCATGATTACAAAAACACACCCACTATCAAATTAACAAGAAGTCTAAGAACCTGATGTGAATGTACTGCAAATGGTAAGGTTAGAATGATGTTAAAAAGCCCCGCAGTTAGCAAGCAGATCAAAATACACAGAAGAAGCAGTGCAGGAGTTATTTTACACCATGCACACAGACAGACACACAAGACCAATGAGAAACTGGCAACACCTCGTTAGGTCCAAACAAGCAGCATACCAAAGGCCGGTATTAGTGGAGCAATGTTACTATGGATGATACAACAGTAAAGCAATGAGCTCCAGTATGACCGGAGACATGTAGTATTATTAACTGCAGCAAAGATGAGGTATGGACTTATTTGAGTTGTTGTCAGGGTATTTTGTAAATGAAAGTGTAGGTGAAAGCCAATACTTACAACTTAAATCTTACAGCAGCACAGAAAAGTTTAAATGTTTGCTGCCATCTAGTGGACAAATCGTTATGTTATATGTGGATGTCCCTGAATATTAATTTAACCAACTTAATACAATTGTATTTTTATGATGTATATTATTACTTGTGTTCAGGTTACTGTTCTGTATTTTACTTTTAGACTTGGAAGACATTTGAGGAATTTAGGTGCAGGCAACTTTCTTCTGAGCGACTTAAAACGGCTGAAATCCGGGGAGGAGGCGGATGAGGCCACATGCAACTTCAAGGAGAAAAGAGGAAGAGGTGGAGGGTGGAGGAAAAAAATGTTAAAATCCCAAAGCCGGTAGAAGTAATTGAAAAGAAGGATGGGGGGCCTCTAAATATAAGAAAAGGATGGGAGTAGGAGGGATCCGTAAAAAGGAGGCAGGCTGTAGCTACGTTTAAGAGAAAACACGTCAACAGTTTACATTTCAGTCCAGCAGCAAGATGATGAGTTTCAGCCAAAAATATCATTCCATCAGAACAAACCAGTTAAAAACAGCCAAAAAGAAAAAGAGTTGGTGTTTGTGTTTGGGTGAGTACATTTCTTTTCCAGTTAATGGCTGAACTTTAAAAGGTGATGTGTCCATTGTAAGAAGTCTTTGGTCACAATCCTCACCTGGAGTGGCCGTCTTTCTTCCAAAGTAGCCCAGGACATGGGAGTAGAGATCCTTTAGCGACGCATCACCCATAGTGGCTTTGGCCTGTCGCTGAGGCGACGAGCCCTGAGATGAGCCCTGACCACGAGGGCGGGGCTTAGATGACAGAGCATGAACAACACTCTTATAAACACCACCGAGAATAGCCCCTTGGTGATGACGTGAAACAGTGCCAGGCTCCTGGGAGCGTGAGCGAGACGCTCGCGATCGCAAGGCCGAACGTCCTAAACGGCCACGCACCCCTGATGACACGCTGGTGCTGCTAGATAACTCTGAATGTGCCTCAGAGTTCACTTTGGTTCCCATTGCAGGGCACTGTGGTCGGTCCTTGTCCCCTCCAGGTCCAGTTCTGTGATGCCCTGCTCCCTCAGCTCGCTCAGTCCCTGCTCCAGCTCTGTCATGGGCCCCTACTTTGTGGCTAATACCAGCCATAGACACAAACTTACCTGCTCCTCCTGAACCCAGCCTTCCTGACCCGGACACATGCCTGTCTCCAGCAGAGTGACTATGAGTGTGGAAGTGGCTGAGGCGTCGCAGCCTTGCTTTCCAATGTGCCTCTTTGCTCTCAAGGGGATTGTGAAATTGGACAGACTCCGTGGAGGGCCGGAAGCTCACATGAACACCCCCACAGTGATGCACTTTGGCACCCCGTTTCTTATCTACAGATTCAGTCAACTCAGTATTAGATTCTACACTGTTGTGGTCTTGGGAGTTGATACTAGATCCCTCATTTGGGTCCTCATCCTCTTTCCCTGAGTCTTCCATAAAATCACTTTTCAGTGCATTGTCTCCCTTTTTCTCCTTGTTTCCTATATGTCTTTCTAAACTTGCACTACTCTTGACTCTGGGTGATGGACACTGCAGCTCCAAACATTCATAAATGCTTCTCTGATCTGTTTCAATATCCTCAGCAGAATCTACACTGCTGTGTCTAACACCTTTGATTGCATGCCTGCCGTCACGACCAGGCTGAGCTTGGGTCATTTGCCTAACTTCTCCTATCTGCCCTGCACATTCAACTTCTGTTCTTTCTATGCTAGGTTCCACAGGTACAGTTGCATTGTTTTCTAGTGTATCAACACAGCAGTTCCTCTCCCCTTCTTCCATAATATTTTCACTTCCCTTATTAGTGAGGTAGTCTCGTATAGAGGAAAACAAATCATCTTCTAAGCCAGTTCCCTCTTCACTGTCCTCTGCATCCGCTTCTCTTTCAGCACAAAAAATAAAGGCAGAATCCCAGTCCTTCGCCCAATCAGAACTTGAATCCTGGCTTTTGGAACCAGCCTTCTCCCAAATATGATTACATAAACTATCATCATCTTGTTTCTCTGCAACTACATCACTGGGAAAAGTAATCGGGGAGGCAGAAGGAGAGGAGGGTGAGTGTGGTGGAGCCATGTGGCTATTGGCTGAAAGTAAGGAAGTAGCTGTGAGGTGCTCGTGAGGAGGATTCAGGTTTGAACAGGCATCCATTTCAGGCTCTTCACCTTTGACCCGTTCTGCGATGAAGGGCTCCATGATGTCTGATGCACTGCTGCTTCGTGCCAGAGTAGAAGAAGGTGGGCCATCCAGGTCACATGCCACGCCCTGGAAGACTTCGCCACAGGACACTGGAGGGGTCTCATCACTTTGGGAAGAGTGTCGCATACGAGTAGACCTGCTGCTCAGTGTGATTGGAGGGTCTTCCAGATCTGAATGAAAAAAGAGAATGGTGTTGCATATAAAAGAATACACACCACGAAGTGAAAGTAAAATTTAGACAACTAATTAATAGACCAAGACAGGCCAAACACTTAAAATGGGTACACTTACCTATTGGCTATTATAGCACACGACTAAAAATAAACAAAAATGAACTGAAAATGAAAGGAAATAAAAAAACAAAAAAAAACAAAACAAAAAAAACAGCCCTACCCAATCCAATAACATGCATAAATTACATCAGTGACTTATTTTTTGTGAGTTTTAGTAAAGACTGAACATGCAGGTTGTTTTGTAAAGATGACAAAGGCACTCATTCAGTGCAATGACAGAACAGCAGGCAGATGAGCAGTGCAAAGATAGTGTACCTGCTAACTGGTCAGCAAGGGGGGGTAAAAAGGGGTGGTGGTGGTGAAGGAGGACAGGAAGAGGCGGAGCCAGAGCAGGAGCACTCTTGGCACTGCGGATAAAGGCTGAGGAGAGCAGAGAGTCCCCAGTAGAGCAGCTACGCAGGGCTAAGAAAGGAGGAAGACAAGACAGAAGCAAGAAAGATAAGCACAGAAGAGTACAGAAGAGGAGAAATTTAGAGAGGTAAAAGAAGAAACTGGTATCAGAGGATTTAAAAGGTTTTGAAGGAAGGAAGAAACAAATTAGAATACAAGATATGTTTAGAGAAGGGGAGGAAGATTGTGTTTTGTGATTCAGAAGTTGCAGACAAATAGATTAAAGAGGGTTGGTAGAGGCAGTGAGAAGGTGAGACTCTCTTGAAAAACAAAACAAAACACTTATAATAATAATTATTATTATATACAACAATAACATTATACAACTACGTTTTTCAAACATGGAAGTGTATTTGATTAGAACCACTCAAAATCATTGAAATCACCCACACAGATTTACTAACCTACAGTCTTCTGACGGACTATACTCCGAGCCTTTTCGATCCCAGGTGAACCAGCAGTGGTAGCACTCCTCTGTCTCATAGCTGCAGCTTGGCCTGGTTGATCTCTGCTCCAACCTTTAGAGAAGGACCGGTCAACAATTTGTCGCTGGGTATCTGCACTGATACCTGTAGTGAAAAGTTTGTTTAAAAAGGGATATACTGTTAATATTAGTTATTTGTTTACTTAAATATATGTTTTAGTGTAAATAATTAATTTAATTTCAACTGACCTTTTCCTTTATGTTTCTTCTGTTTTTGTTCACTCAGTTTGTCCAAAGGCAATTCATTTAGATCTACACTGTAAAGGTTCCTGGCCAACACCTAAACAAAATAAAAATTATTATTTGGATTGGTTTTGTCTTAATATGTATTACATTTAGGCCTTCACATAAATGTTATATTGTTTCATTACATGGCCAGAAATGTGACAGACAGAGGAAATGGTTGTGTCCATTATATTAAAACCTTTATTGTGTTAAGTCTTTAGGACGAGGCTCTTGTACCTTAGTAAGTGTTTCCATAGTGAGGGACCACTCAGTGACAAGCTCCTCCCAGCAGGTCAGAGACGAGAGCACAGAGAGAAGATCATCCCATAGATCTCTGCTTATGTACACATTTAGATTTCCCTTAATCCAAGCTACAATCAGTGTCTGCAATAAAAAATAAAATAAAGCAATAGCAATAGCAATCTTTAGCAACTGCATCAAAAGTAGTTGTAAAAAATGCACCTGAAATATTGGTCCCGCCAATCTTCCTGACAGTGTGTTGTTCTTTTTGCCTTGAGGCATAATGGATGGAGGTCTCTTCATCACCGACTCTGTTACTCTCAACAAAACCAAGAGTATTTGCTCCCTGTGAAGCAATACATGGAATTAAGACCAAAAAAAAAAAACATACTGAACTTATTTAAATGTACCTGCCAAAATTCATACCATGTTTTCTGGTCCATGGTTTCATGCATGACAAGACTGCGGTAAATATTTAGCACACGTTTGCACATGTCCACATGCTCCTCCAAAAGGATCTTAATGTCATTAGCTGGTTCCAGGAGAAACACGTTTGATGAGTGGGTTATAAACACCTGTTAAAGAGATGAAAAGTCATCAGCGACATCAAATGTATTTAAAAGATTGAATATGTCTTGACTTTTAAAGAGGACATATTATCCTAAAAAATCAACTTTAATGAGCCTGATTTTAGGTGATAATACCGGTATATGAAAATTACAATCTGCTTGCAATGGTGAAGTGCCACTATAAAGAGATGAGGCCTATCAGTTCTGCAATTTGGAACACAAGGTCGATAGTACCATTTCTATTATAAGGCTATTCTAGATCAATGTTGCGGTTACAGGGAACAAAATGTAAAATGAGGATCTACTCATATTATAGTTCAATACTAAGTATCTGAAAATGCAATAGGTCTTATTTAACCATTACCTGAAGGGTGGTTTGAATCCCAGCATGAACACTATACTCCAACAATTCGCTGTCAACATCTTTGTTTCCCTGAAAGAGTTTAATAAAATTGCATAAACATATTGCACAACTTGTGAAGTAAATGCACTGCTTGTGAAATTATGTAAGCCATTTCATTCATCTAGATTTTACCTCATCCTCATTTTCTCTTGAATCACGATCAGTAGGATAGGGGCCCTCTTCTGGATCCTTCATAAATACTGGCTTATCCTCCATTGAGATCCACTCCTGGTAAACACGCACCACTTTACGCATAGCTGCAGCTTCACACATGGGGAGGAGGAAGGCCTGTGATATACAAGAGAAAAAAAATGTCAATATGAAATAGAAAAATAAAAGAAATCACTGAATACATGCAATACCTGTCTGAATATTTCTGTAATAAAGTTGACATTGGTTCGGGAGCTTGTCAGTACTCTCCTCACCACCTCCATGTCAGTTAACTGCTCCTCATCCATGGAGCACAAGGAGGAGGAGCTGGGTTCCCTCTCAGTCAGTGTAGATGTGTTCGAGTGGCTTTGTTCAGGTTCAGCCCCAAGCCCAGCCCCCATGACCTCCCCTCGAATGCCTCCTGGCCCTAAAGAAGGACCACTCACTTCCAGATGGTTGTCAGATCGAATCCCACCTCCGCCACTTTCATCTGAGCTCATAGCAGTGCGGGCTGCTAATCCTGCAGCTGCTCGCTACAAGGAAATATATGCATAGTTAAAAAAGATGTGTTCATGTTTTGTTTTTTTTTATATTTGTGATAATTTTACTTGAATATTCTTGGGCACATGTTCTCCTTCTATTCCTGGGATTTGAGTCTGGGTGTTAGGCCGTGGTTCAAGCCAAAATGAAACCAACCAACGAATAAAGATGACTCTGGCCTGGAGGAAGCTCTCCTTGGTGCAATAAATTGTCTCACCACCATCTTGTTCTTTGCGCACTACACTGTAATAAGGTTTAGGGCGCATTGGTGGCACATCTGAAAGAATAACAAAAATTACAATGAACAATTTAAACTTGACTACATATAATGTCATATATTATATGATGTCTGTATATATAATTCATGTTACTCAAATGACATTATTTACCAAGTAAAGGATTATATAGACTGGTCTCAGTGGCAAAGTTGGGGAAGATATGAGGAAGGTAAAACTTTCTGAAATGTCCAAAAAGAAAGCTGAAACCACGCTCATGGTTCTCCTTACTTCTCCACTCAAGTGATTTGGCCTGGTACAAAAATACAAACAAACAAAACAGTCTATGTTATAAAGAGAGGAACATACACACAATAGGGTCAAGTGGAGAAGAGCACCATTGTACAATTGAAGAATGCGTTAGTGTCTGTCTGAGTGCATGCATGTGCATGCGATCTCAGGGGAAATGCCAGAGCTGTCAGTTTGAAATGCCAGTTTGTCAGTAAAGTGTTACTTCAGCATAATAAATAATGCAACATAAGTTGGTTAAATGAAAGTTCAGATGCATAGCAAATTATAAACAGACACCGTACCTGGGTCTCCCATTAGTGCCATTAGTTGTGTTAGTTAGAAAATTGATAATACCTGGTTTACCATGTATTTGAGCAGAGCCTCTAAAAAATAAGCTGTGAGGTCTTCGTGGTTCTTGTCACCTGACTGCGGAGGAACCAATGGAGTTATTTCTTCTGGGGTAACTTGAGCTGCAAAAAGTGGATATTTGTATCAAAATGCTTTTGTT